CTTTGTTTCATCCCCCCCCCTTTCTAAGTACTAAGTAAATTCTTTTACTTAGAATATTTCTCTAAAGTTTTCTGAATACATTTGCCCTATACCTTTTACGTATAGTTTTATTCAGGGTTTAATGAACAATATCCAGTGCTCAAGTGAATTTCTCCTAAACTGATTTGTATTTCTTTGAACATTAACCATCTGATCTGTGGTTTGAATTCTAGGGGTTTTCACCAGCTCCCTCCTCTGGTGAGCGCCAGGCCGAGGAAACTTCCTCTCACTCAGACGGTGAAAGCACAGATTCTGAAAAAATGGCTTTATCTGAGACTGAACTTGCAAAAAAGGAAGAACAGCCTGTGGAATACTCTACTGATTCAATGAGGAATGGAACTCAAATGAACAGGCAAAAATTCATAAGTATTCCTCAGCACACTGCACCACAAACTGAAGGTGAGTGCTCTGCCTCTGCCAGTGCTGTGGTGGTGAGAGCACAGGGCAGGGGAAAGAGGTTCACTGGGCATGGCTCTGTGTAGAGTAACAGATCCAGTTTCTGGGGAAGCTCCAGACCTGATTAAAGTTTCTCTCTGCTGATAGCAGCAGTATTTTTAGTGCCCTGAATCATAGCAGGCAGCATGGAGAAATGGATGAAATCAGTGATGAGGCTCAGTCTGCAGTAAGACTAGCAGAGGGGGTAGACATGCCTCGTTGGTTCAGGGGACTCAGCTGAGAGCTTTGTCTCTAGGAATATACCTTTGCACTGTGATAACTGTCAAGGAACTGCATCTATTTTGCCCTGTTCTCAAAGAGGCAGAGCAAGGGGTGTGTTACCTGCCCTCAGTAGCTAACAGGATGGAAGGCAAAAGTCATTTCAGTGATGTTACTTTACCAGTGCTGAGGGAGCAGTTCATTCTATGTGCATTTTCTTCCCATAGAAGATGATCACCTGGTGATGCCAGCTATAAATCTAGATGGAGAGGTGTCTGCTCTTGCCAGGGTTCCAGAAGTGGTTCAAACTCTGGAAAGTTGTGCACTGACCTGGCAGGAATTAATATCCACAGTTCTGGAGGAACAACTGCAAAAGGTTCCACAGGTACTGTTGCCTATAACAAACACCAAACTGCTTTTATTCCTGGAGGCTTTGCTTCATTTCCCCACAAGAATCTCTTTGAACAGTTCGTGTAAATTTTTTATTCCTCTTCATGTTTGACTGTTGGAAAGCCATTTACTAACTGATGAAAAGCAGAACAAAAGCAGTGAGGAGCTGTGTGGCTCTGGGAAGTAGAATATAACTAAAGTATAAATATAAATAAAGTAACTCACTGGAGATTCTACCAACACAGGATAACTGGAAATCTAAGGGACATTTTTATCTGCACTCATTTAAAGAGCCATGACGTTCTAAAAGCTGCTGTGATTTCAAACTGAAGGAGAGGAAGTTTAAGTTAGATATTAGAAAAATGTTTTTTCCTCCAAGGGTGGTGAGACACTGTCCCAGGTTGCCCAGGAAGGCTGTGGCTGCCCTGACCCTGGCAGTGTTCAAGGCCAGGCTGGATGAGCCTTGAGCAACCTGATCTAGTGAGGAGGTGTCCCTGCCCAGGGCAGGGGGTTGGGACTAGATGATCTGCAAGGTCCATTCCAACCCCTGAGTTCTATGATTACTTTTTAAAATAGCCAACTGTATTTTTTTTTCTTGGAAAAAAGTAATCTCAAAATTCCAGTTTTCCGGTTCAGGTTCTACAAACACTTACATATATGACTTAAATATACTAAGGGATTTACTGTCTGTAAAGTTACATCAGCTTTTGGCCTCTCCACCTCAGGGATCTATTTCCCATGAGCAGTTCCCTTCAGTGTGTGTAAAACTCTTCATTTCAAGGATCTTCTTCTGTCTTGGTTTTTGGCATGGTGAATCATATCAGATTTCTGTCAGCATAAAGTTTGTAGAAAAGAAGGAACAAACACAGTCCTGATTATAAGTTTTCACTCTTGCATAATGGTAATCTGGAATTTAATTTGATTCCACATTACTTGCAGGGCAATGGTCCTCTTGCAGAAGTTAACTTCTGGCAGGAAAAAAGTGCTACTTTAAGTGCTCTTACTGAACAGACAAAGCTTCCAGAGGTGCAGAAAGTCTTGGAAATATTACAGGAAGCTGAATCCAAGCATGTTGGAGATTTACAGATAGTCTTAAGTGACCTCCAAAAACATCACGTGGAAGCTCTAGATAATGTTAAGTTCCTTTCAACCCTCGAACGCCACTTGAAGGTAAGTGCTTTGAGCAAACCAGGTGAAGTTTGAACTGTAGTTACCTGAGTTTGGTTTCACTGTTGATGCCATCACCTCTTCTTTATTTATCAACAATAAATACATACTCTAGATTAATGAATTAATTAAAAAAATATTTGAGTTGCAGTTGTTCTAACACTTGGAAGCTCAGAGCTGTGAACACTTGGTTTGTAAATCCAACCTTGGGAGAATTTGATAGTAGAGCTGAACTGGGGAAAACAAAACAAAAGAAAATACAGATTTCTCTACTCCATTTTTGAGGTAGCTTTGCCCACTGATTAGAGCTGATGTCTCAATGTCTAAGTTTTACTGAACATCATCCATACATCCAAATAAAGAATTGAGCCAAAACCAATTTTGGGAAGGAGAAAAGAGAATATTGAGACAGGACTTAAAAAGCATTTGGAGCACCTGATGCAGATTGGCATATCCTTAACCACATGTGTTATTTAGGCACCAGAGTGTCTTCTTGACTAGGTTATTTGTTTGACAGTAGCACAGACTTTCCTAACTACAGGTATTGGTTTATTGAATATGAATTTGTATATTTCCATGACATCTTCTTCATAATGTGCTTTTAATAGAACTTAGCATATGGCACTGGGTTTGATGTTGTCCGGAGTACAATTCCTTCACTGCTGAGCACCCTGAGAATGGTGTGGATTATGTCACGATATTACAGCCAGGAGGAGCAAATGGTTTCCCTCATGGAACGGATTGCATGGGAAATTGCCACAAGAGTGGACAGAGCTGTGGATGTACACACACTGTTCAAGTAAGCAGAGGATTCTTGTACTTATTAGAAGCTTTGCCTGTTTTACACAGGGTGTGGTAGATAACACTTTGATCAAATAGATTGAATTGGTTTAGACTATTTTAGATTGTATTAGAAGGTCAATTAAAAGTCAATTTATTCTGTAATTTTCATAAATTACTATATCAGCCCTTAAAAAAATAGGTGTTTGTCCTCTCTTGTCTCAGAATTATACAAATCAATAAACCAAATAAAATTATAGTTGTAAAAAAGTGGCATAAATATCATCAAAATCAGTCCTGAACCAGAACCTCCTTCCAAAGGCACATGGAAAATGAAAACCTAAGACATGTTTTGCCTAGATCTTGTATAATTAGAAGTTGCTAAACCAGGGTATAGTAATGCAGCTGAGATATGATTTTCTATCTATAGTGTTTCTGTCTATAGCATCTTAACTGTGTTGGTTTGATTAACAGAGAAGATAGAGCTGCTGCAAAAAAGAAAGTAACAGAAGCCAAAAGAACTCTTGAACAATGGAAAAAAAGTTATTTCACTGTTTGTGCCCAAATTGAAGGATCAGGAAATGAACATCTCTGGAAATTTGACCAGAAATGTTTGTTTGAAAAAACAGATTATATGACTTCAGTCTGTCAAGATCTGTATGATATTTTTCAGGTAGGATTACAGACAATAAGTGATGGGGTGGTGTGATCATTGTGATTCTGTAGAGGAGATTCTTTTGTATAGCAGTTGGGGATTTGTTAACAGCCTGTAGTTTTGTGAGTACTTTAAGACCTGAGAAGTGCCTCAGATTCCAACAAAACTGCTTAGTGCTGGAGATGGAATAACTTTGCCAGGGACTGCCTGAGGAAAGATGTTACTGTGTACAAGATATGAACAGAGACTTTTAACAACTGTGTCACAGATGTGCAGTTTCATGGATTGCTAGCTTAATGCTATGATGTAGATAAAATAGCCATTTAAATATACTATAACACACAATTTGGCCTTCTGTGTGTCTGTGTATCAACTGCAGAATGACATGTAAATGGAGCAATGATCTATTAGGCTAATTTAAGTCAGGGTAATTACCAATATAGTCCATCAGTAGACTCTGTAGATGAAAAGTGGACTAAAAAGGAGCAATAACTGAGTATTACCTGTTATCACAACTGAAATGTTTGGCCTGTAGAGTCGTGCTGGGGGTTTTTTAGGGTCTTGTATTAAAATATATGGTATGCAAATCACAGCACAAATTGATTCTCTGAGTGGTTTATCTTTTTAAAAGGAAAAGTTAACAGAAAAATGTGTTAAATGACAAAAAACATTAAAAAGCAAGGTTTCTGATGTGAATTAACAGGTCACTGAAGAGTTTCACAATCTGTTCATTCCTGAGCTAAGAACTGTGACAGCGAATCCAAAGTATATTGAAGCTCTGCTGAGAGAAGTAAATGGACTAACTATTCCTATGGAAGAATTGTCTTTTGACCCTTTTAGCCTCCAAAGTGCACATGACTGGAAATCAATTGTGGCAGAATTTAGAGAAGAAGTTTCAGTAAGTGCCATATACTGTGATTCCCCCAAACCAGTAAAAATATGCTTGACTGCTACTATCAAAAAGTATTTTCTCTTTGCCTCTTTGCAAGATGAGTCTCTAAGGGACAGGATTTCTTGGCTTTCTTCCTGTGTTTAGGTTATCGAGGAAAAGTTCAAGGAGTTTATTGATGAATCTTTTAAGAGCCTTCGATCAGCAGAAGCTGCTTTTGACATGCTGTTAAAGTTCAAACACATCAGCATTCGTGAAACTGTTGCTGAGCAGATGATGATGAAGTTCAGGGATGTTTTGGACCAATATTGTAAAGAGGTATTTAATTTAGAGATATCTTCTGTAGTACATGAAGCTCTTCACCTAATGAAAATCATAATATCTGTATTTGTCTAAATACCTGTGTGGTGTCATTTACTGTGTGAAAGACTGAAAAGTTTTGCAAATAAACATAATAATTGCTCTCACTTTTTGGAGCCTTTTGGAGAAATAGTGTGGCTGATTTGCTGAAATGAATGTGCACATCTGTGTGTGTGTGTGTGAGGTGCTGGATGGGCACTGAGAGGGATCTGCACATGCTCTGAGTGCAACAAGTCTTGTGGCTGTTCCTTCACCCTGTGAACAGCATATCAGCCCTAGTCCTTCCTGAGGAAATGCTGCCACATAGCAGTTCCACAAATACAGGAAGAAAGACATTCTCTGTGATGCCATTAATGCAAACAAAAGATGCATGATAAAATAATTGCTTTTATTCTGCTGCTGGAATTAGTTTCAGAGCTTGTGCTGTGTCCCAGGTTAGATACTGATCGTGGACAAGCAAGTGGAGAAATCATAGAATCATAGAATTTAGGGGTTGGAATGGACCTTACAGATCATCCAGTCCCAACCCCTGCCCTGGGCAGGGACACCTCCTCACTAGATCAGGTTGCTCAAGGCTCATCCAGCCTGGCCTTGAACCCTGCCAGGGTCAGGGCAGCCATAGCCTCCCCGGGCAACCTGTGCCAGTATCTCACCAGCCTCACAGAGAAAAACTACTTTCTCACATCCAATGTAAATTTTCCCTTCTTCAGTTTGAACCCATTACCCCTTGTTCTGTCACTGCAGTTCCTAACACAGAGTCCCTCTCTGGCTCCTTGTAGGCCCTTCAGAGATTGAAAAATTGCTCTGAGGTCTCCATGCAAAATGATTCTTTGCAATATTTTGTTCTCTTCTAGGTTGAAAAAGTTAAGAAAATCTTTGATGAGAACCTCAAGGACCCACCTTTGTACAAGAATCATCCTCCAGTGGCTGGAGCAATATTCTGGTCCAGGTCCCTTTTGCGTCGGATCAAATGCACTATTGTTCAATTTGAAGAACTAAAGGAGTTGCTTTCTAGTGAACGTGGAAAGGAAGTATGTTGGTTCTCTTGATTTAATGTGGGAAGAAATACTTACCTCATGCACTTCTTCTAGAGGTGGGAAAGTGCTCTGATGTGAGAGGAAGTTCCAAGTCTTTGCTCACAGCAAGCCATGTTAGATGTGAAAACCTAGTGGAACCTTCCCAGTTTCCCAGGGAGACAGTGATAGAATCAGTGTCAGAGTTAAAAAAGCCTAAACTCTCCAGTGCCTGCATTAGTGACAAGGCATTTCTTGCCCTCTTAACCAATAAAATACAGAAACCACATCGAGACACCATATTAAGACAGGTCTTTCAAATCAGTTATACAGAGTTTTCCTTTCTAGGTAAAACAAATGTATCTTCAAGTAGCCAAGAAGATGAAAGAGTATGAAGATCAAAAATACAGTCAGTGGATAGAGAGGATAAACCAGATACTCCCTCTGTTCCTGAAAAATACTCTGCTGAGTGTTGTCAGTGGCGAGGCTGCAGCAAATGTTAATCCAGGGATGTCTGAGCAGGTGACATCTAGGAAGGTAACGTACCAGGCTTCTCTGTGGAGAAGAAATAAACCCTACCTGATAGAGAGATTTTTCTAGGGTAATATTTTAAGCACAGATTTTGAAAGGACAATTTCAAAAGTTCTGAGCTGTAGTTCCTGTTCATTCTTAGGTTTTGGTACATCTTTGGGATAAGATGCAACAAACCTTGGGACTGAAGTTAGGTAGAGGCAAGTTCCCAGCAGAGCTCATGCTGAATCCTGTTCTTATTACACTTTTGTCAGGCCATGAATTTCCACAAGGATTTCTGTTGTAACTGGTGGTTGCATTTGTTTCTTGTACTCAGTTGTCTCCAGAGGTAGTTGTGTGATTTTTGGAACTAGAATGCTGACGCTGCTATAGAATTTTAAAGGCATTTCCACACATTCTGAATGCCAATCATTCTGACTTTACCCACTGGCTTTTCAAATGCCTTCAAGAACTCACCTTTTCCTTGTAAAGTAACAGTTTGTTGTTTCTCTACTTTTTGCTGCTCTTGTGTTGTAGACCTCAGTAACAGAGGAGCTTCTCCCCACCAAGAAAAGCAAATCATTCACAGTGAATTTTTCTCCCATATTCCACGAGATTGTCACTGAAACAAAATATATGGAACAACTAGGATTTCCAGTCCCAGAAACAGCAAGATATGTGGCATTACAGGAAGACAAGTATCTTGGGTAAGGCTGTAACAGAATCTCTGCTCACACACAGACTCATGGCAGCATTTCCAGTGATTTCACTCCAAACCAGAGCAGACCCTGAGTCAGCAAGTGTTGGCAATATGAGAGCTTTTAGTGACTTTTTCTTTAAGGGTGCAGTTACTAATGGCCATGTTGCACTGACTGATAAGCTTTTCTCTGGTGCTGTCTGCATCCTTTTTGCTGTAGGACTGTTTTACAAAGTAACATCTCATCAAAATCTGAAAGAAAACAAGGAAAGTAGTCTTTTGTGCAAGTAATTTTTACTGCCAATTAGATTTCAGCTCACATTTAAACTCATTGCTGCTTTTTTTTCTCTACAACCTTGGATAAATCAGTTGTGTCCGAGTCATCCCAGGCATTTAGCACACAGGGGTGGTGATAAGAGCCCTAACTGGATTTTAAAGTTCACTGTTGAGCTCACTTATATACTTTATACTGAGGCTCTCTTAAAAACCCTGAGTTTTTAATATCCAGCTCTGAGTTGGATCAGGAGAACTTTGTCTGATTACTATTGGAGCCGTGTGGAACTTTTGTTTCAAATGGGAAATGAATTGTATTTGTAATCAGTACATACTCACTGGTTAGTTCTGCCAGTTTTGCTTTACATGAAAGTCTGAATGGAATGATGGAAGTGCTCTGCCCTTTGGTGCAAGTCAGAGCTGCATTTCAGGAAAATCATCATTTTTATATTTTGTTGTTGTGCTTCTTGCACTCCTCAGGTATTTAAGTAGGTTGAAAGCCATGCTGGATCGCTATCACAAGTTAATGGAAACACTGAGTGAAGCAGAAACAGAACTTCTTGATGACAGTCTCCAAGAACTCTGGAGAATATTCAAATCAGGACACAGGAGACTCACATGGAACTCCTTAGGTAATGGAGATACTATTTCAAAGTGGCCTTAGATACTTATTTTAAGTTAAGAACCCACTCAGTTCTGCAGTCTGTATTTTATATCATATGACAGCAATGTGTCCCTAAATGGTGCATCCTATTGCCATAGTTAGAGTTAGAATAGCAGGTTAGAGAAACTCTGACCCAGGAGGGCATTTCTTGTGGGTTTATTATATTTAAAACACTGGAGATGGCAACAGTCCCTCACATAGCTGCCCTGACCCTGGTGCTGTTCAAGGCCAGGCTGGATGAGGCCTTGAGCATCCTGATCTAGTGAGGAGATGTCCCTGCCCAGGGCAGGGAGTTGGGACTGGATGATCTGTAAGGTCCTTTCCAACCCCTAAATTCTTTGATTCTGTAGGTGAAGGATTAGGTGAGAAATCTGCTAGTCTTTCTGCAGAACCTCGGGTCATTCTTAGAGATAAAACACATCTGGATGTGGATATTTTGATGCATTGGTGAAATGTCTGTTAAAAGAATAAAACCCAAATGGTTGTGATTTATTTCAAGGTATTGGTGACTTTATTATCCAGTGTACACAAGCCATTGGGAAGTTTGAATCACTTGTCCATCAGGTTCATCTTATTTCTGAAGACATAAGCAGCAAACTTCTGTTCATAGAATCAACAAATCTCTTTAAGTTTCCACTTGCAAAACATGATGATGACCTTCCTGGTAAGTCTGTTTTCATTTCCAAGCTCAGTGATGTTTTGTTTTTCTTTATCTGGCACTTTGTAGTTTTAGTTGCTAAGATCAACCCTTTTAATTGAAGATTACAAGAATATTTCAGGATGTAACAGAAAACTGAACTGGTTTCCTCAGATGGAAATGGCAGTGAGGTGATTGTTTCCCTGATCTCTGTCATTCAGAGTGAGTGATGGATCAAATTTCTTTCAGCACTTTGTAAGCCATGAAAACTTTGCTTTTACATCTAATAGTTGCTATTAATTAATTGAATCCATATAAAACCAGAGGGCTGAAAGATTAATAAATTAAGCATTAATAAGATCAGTCTACAAGATAATTTCATGCTCACAGATAAAACTCAGCTAATTGTTATGGCGTATAAGTCTGTTAGATCTTTTGCAGTTAGTAATGATATTTTTTGTGTCCTTTGCAGGAGCGAAAGAATTTTTTGACTATGTTAAGTGTGAAAGAGCAAAAGATGTGGAACACATGGTTGGAAAGTTTTCTGCGATTTCACAGCTGCTAATAGAAGTGGAAGAACAAGTTGCCAATACAAACAGTGGCAAATCTCCAAAATTAGCTTCCTATTATGCACACTGGGAAAACAAGATTTATCAGGTGTTGACACAGTTAATTGTGAAGTAAGTCAGTTGTTTGCTTTCATGGATTTCCAGTCTTTCATCTTTGGAGTTTTCTGGATCCGTTGATCAGTACATGTACTGACATTCTGTTTGAACACCTCAGCTTGTGACTGATTTGTATTTGTACTGTTTTTCTCCTGTGAGCAGTAGAGAACTGAAAACAAGGTACAGGAGAACCCCAGTTTCTGAGGAATGGGATATTATCATGTTGTTGGGAAAAGAGAGAAGTAAGATCTGTTTTCTGCAGTGTCTGTAGTTGCACATCCCTGGTTTATTTTTTAGATCAGGTTTTGTTTTATTAAGGAACACAGTTTTGAGGGCTTGGTGTCTGGGTGCCGGATGTGTCCCAATACTGCAGGGACACCAGGACAAGAACAAAGTTTTGTTGGGTTTTACTTTACCTATTCTGCAGCAGCTCAGGCCAAGGAGGTTCCTGTAGCAAGGTATTATAAAGGCTTCTATGATAAGCATGATATTATTGCATTGCAGGGTTGTAAAACCTTCCCAACCATCTCTTCTTCCCATTACCCATGTCTTTGTATCTGGTCCATGCTGAAGCTTACTTCACTGTGCTTTCCTGACTGGGCTCTTGCAGGGGAGTTGGCCATAGTCTCGGGATCCTTTTGCACAAGGTGTCCCCATTCTTTCCTTCCAACAGCTTCTTTGAGCTAGTCAAGCTTTTGCTGTACATCAGTGTTAATGGGATAATGTTGCTCTGATGCACATCAGTGTTTCCATCTGAAATCAGTGGTAACTGACTTCAGATTTCAGCTCTGGTTACAGCCCTAAGCACACACCTGATCATTGCGGTCTCTTTGGGCATTTCCCTGGGGGGCAGCACCTGATTCTTTCTATCTTTGACATGTTTTTTTTCCTTTCTCAGGAATTTACAGGCTTTTAATGCAGCTCTTCTTGCAAATGTGCCACTGTTCCAAATAGAAGCTCTTTTGTCTGTTCCTGACATAATCATGCAACCTGATGCCAGTGAGATTGACAAAATGACTGTACAATGTATCCAAGACTGTGTTGAGGTCACTAAGGTGATTTTTGATAAAGATTTATTTGTTGCCAGAATTTGCTTGTGATTGAACTAATTATACTTTGTATTTGGGCAAGCACAAATGTCAAAGGGAAGGGTTATATTGTTTTATCTTGAAATCAAAATGTCCAATATGTGGTACTAACTTCACAGACTGTCCTCATTTCACAAACTGATGACAAAGGGAAAAAAATCCCATAAAACCTCATGTAATTTTTACTCAGGCAAAAATATTACTTTTTAGCAGTTTTGCCAGTATAAGGACATGATTTGGTGCTATAACTCAGCAGACATCAGAAGGAAATGCTTTTCAGAATCCTCTGCAGATGTTACTTTTGGATTTTCGAATAAGCTGGTAGAATAAGGAATGTATTATGTTCCACATTATGTTTCTTCTTAAAAGCATAAGAAAAACAGTTCAGAAAATGATGGAGAAGGGTGACTAGGACTCATCTAGGACAGCAAGTATCTAGAAAAAATATCTAGCTTACTGGCAAAGATGTATTAATATTTCCCTGCATAAATATGCTCACATTGAACTGCTTTCCTGAAAAGAAGCCACATATTATGGCAGTGTTCCTGCCTGGAGCTGTTGGAGAAATGGTTCCAGATGTCCCCTGGAATGAATACATTTGGATTGTGTACTTCCTATGCTCAGATTTGCTGTTCTGCTCCACTGCTGCCCCCAGTCTTTTTGATCCAATACCTTTTCTCTCTGTCCTGCTGTCTTGCTGCTCAGCAGGGACTTCAGAAGTAGATTGAGTAATGGGTGAAAAGGTTTTGTTAGGATGAAATTAACTCTTCTCAAGTTGAGGGGAAAGTGTAGTCTTTTTTGCTGTCAGAGAAACAATGTGAGAAATCATTCACACCACTTCCTACGTAGTCTCCTAAAAAATTAATTTCTTCACTGGAAGAGTTATCAGGCATTGGAATGGGCTGCCCAGGGAAGTGATGGAGTCACCACCCCTGGAAGGATGTAAAAGACTTGTAGATATGGCACTTGGGGACATGGTTAGTGGTGTACTTGGGAGTGCTGGGTTAATGGTTGGACTTGATGATCTTAGAGGGCTTTTCAACCTAAATGATTCTGTGATTCTATGAATGATTTGACTAAAATGACTCTACAAAATTGTTTTTCAACCTTGTCTTGAAATCTGCAGCACTTCGTACGATGGATGCATGGTACATGTATTAAATGTCCTCCTCAGCACATCAAGAAAGATGAAGTTTCGACTTTCAGCTTTTACAGCGATGTCTTCCAGAACCCTCTGATAGCTGACCAGGCTGTTCTCATCACTCAGAATGTCCACACAGTCCTGGCTTCTCTCAGCAAGCATTTGAACCAATGGGAGAGGTATGACCTGCTGTGGAAATCAGACAAAGCTGAAGTCCTGGAGAGGTTAGCTGCAGAAAAGCCTACATGTGTCACCTTTGATGAGCAGATGCAGTTCTATACGAAGTTAGCTCAGGAAGTGCCTCAACAGCCCTTGATTAAAGATGAGCAATTTATCAGGCTTCACCTGGCTCCTTTAGCCTTCACACTGCAGGAGAATGCCAGGGGCTGGGTGGTTTCATTTGGGAAGTTGCTTAATGAATCTGCAAGAGAGGAACTCTTCAGCCTTCACAAGGAGATGCAGGTAGGTGTTTTCAGTTTAGTTTTTGTTCTCTTTATCACATAGATTGAAAATAAATCTTCCTGTTGTTTGCTTGTGCTTTGTGTTTGACTCATTGTTACAGTTCTGCCAAATTGTTTTGTCAGTGTTGATTCTGAAAATGATCGTTCCTTTTTTACAGAACTTATCAGAGAATCTTAATAGACCTCCTGATACCCTGGAAGATCTCAAAATGGTGCTTGGCACAATGGCAGAGATCAAAGACATGTCCTTTGAGGTGGAGCTGAAATACTTGGACATCTGGGAGAGATACCGAACTCTTGCAATGTACAATATTCCAGTGAGTGCATGTCTCAGCAATCATTTCAGATTTGAGCTAGGGGCACAAATGCCTCACATGTGAAAGAAAAAAATGCTTTCCTTCTAAGACATCTTGCAGAATTGCAGTATTGAGGTTTGAAGGGATGCCTGGAGATTGTCTAGTCCAAACTCCCTTCTCAAATCCATATGCCCACTTTCAAATGGACATACTGCTTGTGTTTAAATCTGATTCAGGTCACTTCAGTACTGGTTTTGTGTTTTGGAGGGTTGTCATGTTCCTCACTTTCTTGTGACTACTTACTTTGTCTGAGAGATGCCACTTGTTTTGTTTTAGGTAACTAAAGAAGAGCAAGAGATGGCTGACGGAATTAAGGAGAAGTGGGAGGCTCTTGTCTTGGAAGCCTCAGAAGTCAATCGCAGCCTTGGAGGTGTAAAAAAAGCTTTCAGAAAGGTAATTATACTTGTAATTAATGTTGAAAAAAAATTAGAAATGGGAAGGAAAACAATTTAAACACTGTTCTCTTTAGATTACACGGCAACAAATTGAGGACTACAGCAAAGAGACAACAGATTTCTTTCAAAAATTAGTGTCCGAGGGGCCTGCGACTGTTGGGGAAGATCTTGATAAAGGTAAGTGGACTAATGTGTGTGAAGTGATGGAGTGAAAAATTAGTCTTTGAACAACTCGAATTTTATGTAAAACAAGACAATTGTGTTTTCCTTATTAACATACAAACTCCTCTACCAGGAATGTGAACTTTTTAGTACTAGAACTTCTACACACTACATGCAAATTCTGTCTTATTTATTTTCCATGAACCTTGGGACTCTTTATCTAGAAAATTCGCTCCCCTTTTCCAGGATTGGAACTCATGGCCATTTTTGAAAAAGAATTGGAGAGACTGGAGAAAAGTTCTCAGGAACTGGGCAGTGCTGAGAAATTTCTAGACTTGCCAGGAGCAACATACCCTGACTTAATGCAGGCACAGAATGGTGTGAAGGCTCTAAAGCAGATCTATGACATTTATGCATTACAGAGAGTAAGTACCACACTGTGTCTGCACAGACACACATTCCTTTTGGTCATTTCTGATGCAAGTCATTGTGTTTGGCTGTGAATCTGCCTTGGACATGAACCTGTCTCTTCCTCTGCTTGTTCAGTATTAATACAGTTGCATTTACATCCTGCCTATGGTCTCTGCATTCTACTGTGGTGTAAAGATTACTTTTTGGGGGATCAGAACTAAAAGGAAATATGATTTTTTTCCCCCCTCTGCATTCTACTGTGGTGTAAAGATTTACTCTTCTGATGTCCATGTTCCCAGGCAGCTAAAAAGGAATGGTCTCAGACACTCTGGACAAACCTTAATGTGCCACTTCTTCAGGAAGGAATTGAAGGATTTCTTAAAGCCCTTCGGAAGTTGCCCAGAGCAGTGCGCACCATGCCAGTGGCCATTCAGCTGGAAACAAAAATGAAGGCATTCAGAGACTCCATTCCTTTGCTGCTTGATTTGAAAAATGAAGCTTTAAGAGAAAGGTTTGCTTTGATTTATTTAAATCCATTTTCTGTGCATAGAAATATTTCATGTGTTTTCCTTTAACTTCCATGTGTAGGATCATATGTCATGTCCTAGAGTCTGGAAATTTACTTTCTGCTTGATGAACTTGTGTGATAGAATCACAGAATTTAAGGGTTGGAATGGACCTTACAGATCATCCAGTCCCAACCCCCTGCCCTGGGCAGGGACACCTCCTCACTAGATCAGGATGCTCAAGGCTCATCCAGCCTGGCCTTGAACACTGCCAGGGTCAGGGCAGCTACAGCCTCCCTGGGCAACCCGTGCCAGTGTCTCACCACCCTTAGAGTAAAAAACTTTTTTCTCACATCAAAAAACTTTTTCTTACATAAAAAACTAGCATAGCACAGCATAGTGTGTGAGGTGGCCAAAATGACTAGGATACTTCATGTGTTCAAACTGGTAGTTCTTGTTTAAACAGCAAAGTGTTAAACACAGTTTCAATATTGTATGTTCAGTTACAGTTGGTTTTGTTTTTACTGTTTCGTGGTGGTTGGTGCAGTTGTTGTTGTGTCAATTTAAAACAGGCATTGGAAAGAGCTTATGGAGAGAACAGAAACCTGGTTTGAAATGACAACAGAAACATTCACTTTGGAGAACATGTTTGCTATGGAACTTCACAGACATTCAGATGTTATCAGTGAAATAGTCGGAACTGCTGTTAAGGAACTTAGCGTTGAGAAGGTAACAAATGATAAAATCTTAATGAAACTAAAGAGTCAAGGATGACAGAAGTCTGAGTTTTGTCTGAGATTTTGAAATTGGCATGGCAGCCAGTTTGGCCATCTCCAGGGACCTGCCATGGTGGAACTGATGGCAACTAAGGTCACTAACTCTGTTAATAAGCTTCTGTACAGCTCAGAGTCGTACCCAGTATTGGCTTTGGCAGCAATATATAGGATTTCTGTTCCTACAATAAACAAGTTTGTCCTGTGAAAAAGGATCTGGAGAAGGATCCATTCTGTTGCCATCATCATGTTTTGCCGTAGACCCTTCTTTAAAAACCAGAGTTAGAAAATCTGTGCAAAAATTTTGCTGAATTAGGTGTTTCATTTTTATGCTAAGATTATTGTCCTCCAGTTTTTGAAGACTGAAGGATGCATCTTTTTGTGCTCACATGCAGGGACTGAAGGAAGTAGCAGAAACATGGGAAACCCTGAAATTCACTGTACAAGAGTACTTCAAAGGCACTGAGAAGAGGGGTTATATTCTGGGATCTGTAGCTGAAATATCAGAGATCCTCGATGACAACAATGTCAATCTTCAGAGTGTCTCGAGCAGTCGATTTGTGGGTCCTTTCCTTTCAGCTGTTCACCGCTGGGAAAAAACTCTGTCATTGATTGGTGAAGTAATTGAGGTAGGAAGAAAGACCTGGACTAAATAATTAATGTTTGTTATTTAAAATCAGAGTTTTCTGTTGTATTTTTTTGTTCTCTGACAGTAATGTTTGATTCTTAGGTCTGGGTAGCTGTTCAGAGAAAGTGGATGTACCTGGAGAGCATCTTTGCTGGTGGAGATATCAGATCACAGCTTCCAGAGGAAGTCAAGATATTTGACAGTGTAGACAGAATGTTTAAACAGGCAAGTAACTGACCTGAAGGGCAGAGGTGATATCCTGGTCTGGCAGCATGGGATAGGCAGAATCTCCTTTTCCTTGCATTGGACACATCTTGTTACCTTTACCATGGCAATAAGATGCTTAGATGTGTTTCTATAGAGTGAGGACCAACACATGTAATAAAAAGGCTTTCCTGGCTTGTGCCACTGTTCCCATACTGAACACATACTCCCAGTAGGAATATGGATTACTTTTCTGCTTCCCATCTGCAAAACTGAGAGTGCTGTGATTCTGAAATGTAATGTTTGATCATCCCTTGAAGTTCTACTGTGTACAGGAGCAAAGTCAGGTCTATGCTTATGCTGGCATGACATGGGTTTCTCTTATTCTTTTACAGCTGTGTCTCATGCTCTCAGCTTTGAAAGCACACTGCATCCATGTTTTCACACAGCACTGCAGCAACAGAAAACCATGTTTTAAAACCTTTGATTTACTTCTCTAAGAACCTATCCTGCTTGTGCTGCTTGTGTGCTGTGTTACTAGGTAAATATAATTTAGTGTAATCTATAGCCGTTCAGTATTTTCTAAACTTTTTCTCCCTCTGTAGATAATGGATGAAACTGTAAAAGAACCAACAATAAAAACATGCTGCGAAGCCCAAAATCGTCTGTCAGATCTCCGTCATATAAATGATGTGCTGGAGAAATGTCAGAAAAGCTTGAATGACTATTTGGATTCCAAGAGAAATGCTTTCCCAAGATTTTTCTTTATATCTGATGAGGAGTTGCTCAGTATCCTTGGCAGCAGTAGTGCACTTTGTGTCCAGGAACACATGATCAAGGTACAGTGTTGGCTTTTGCACGGTGCCTTTTGCTTTTAGGTGCTTTTAAAAGTTTAACAGACTATACTGTACATGCCCCTAAGGGTACACTAATATTTATTGCATACAAAGAGCATCCTGGCAGCATCCTGAAGAGGCTTCTGAGTAGCCAAATCAAATCTGATTGTTGTCTCTCATACTGTCCAGGAGCAGTTATGGTAGAGGAATGTTGCTGGAGGAACACTCATGATAGACCAGAGTGATCTGTCATTAAAGAACCTTCATATACCTCCTCGTAGATCTCTATTTTATAGAAAAAATCAATGTCATTTGGGCCTCATCGGCTGCTTGATTGCTCTGCAGTTGGACTACTGGGCTATGCATCAGCATTTTTATTTGATTACTTAGGAGTCAGATCCATTTTCCATGGAACTTTTCTTTCAGTAGTAAACAGGGCTGGATACACTTACATCTCGAGGCTTGATTTCCCAAATGCCACTGAATTTCTCGGTGCTTTTCAGATGTTTGATAACATAGCCTCGCTGAGGTTTCAGGATGGTGACAATGACAAGAAGATTGCAACAGCCATGGTCTCAGCTGAGGGGGAGGTGATGGAGTTCCATCAGGCTGTCCCTGCAGTGGGCAGAGTGGAGAGCTGGATGACAGCAGTGCTGGCAGAAATGAGAGAGACGAACAAGCGCCTCACTAAGGAAGCCATTTTTCGATACTGTGAGGACAGAAGCAGGTGAAACCATCAGTGTTTGTTCTTTTGTTGTATTCTTACAGGCCTGTTGTGATCTGGAAAAATTAAGACTTCATTGTTTCCATCATACACCTTTTAGCCTGTATTTCTGTATGTGGAGGAGTATGAACACATGCACTATTTTAACTCACCAGGAAAAAAAAGTGTTCTCTCTCACATCCAGTTTCCTGAATCTTGAGGTTTTATTTTTACTGATGTGTTCACAGTATGTTTTTCTCATGATGAATTCCACTTGGCAATTTTACACAGGGAATAGGCAGCTTTTCTATCAGAGTATTTCCTAGGCTTTTGAAATCCCACAGCACATCTTGATGGAATTCTGTACATCTCTGAAAAGTTTGGCTCATATTGTAGTAATTGCATAGATAGGAGCAACAGCTTTTTTTTTTCCCCTTTCCTAATCAGTTACTTAAAATAAACAGTAATACAAAAACTCAGCCTCCCTCACTGTTTGTGTTTTCCACAGAGTTGATTGGATGTTACTTTTCCAAGGCATGATGGTCCTGGCTGCTAATCAGGTGTGGTGGACTTGGGAGGTGGAGGATGTCTTTCGGAAAGTGCAAGAGGGAGAAAAACTGGCCATGAAAATTTATGCTGAAAAAATGCACAAGCAGATTGATGACTTGGTTACTCGAATCACCATGCCTTTGAGCAAAAATGACAGGAAGAAATACAACACTGTGCTCATCATCGATGTTCACGCCAGAGACATTGTCGACGTGTTCGTAAGAGACAGGTAAACGTCACCCCCCAACCTACTGAGTTTAGCCAAATGCATAAATGGTGTTTTCATGCTTTTGGCTCATGGGAACAAGTGTGTGTTGTGCAGCATCCTGCAGGCTCAGGAGTTTGAGTGGGAAAGCCAGCTGCGGTTTTACTGGGAGCGCGAGCCGGACGACCTGCGCGTGCGGCAGTGCACTGGCTGCTTCTCCTACGGCTACGAGTACATGGGGCTGAACGGGCGCCTGGTGATCACCCCCCTGACAGATCGGATCTACCTCACCCTCACACAGGTCTGTGTTTGTTCCTGTGAGCACAGAAGGGCAGCGAGGCTGCTGAAGGGTCTGCAACACAAGTTCTGTGAGGAGAGGCTGAGGGAACTGGGGTTATTGAGCCTGGAGATGAAAGTGACTTTATCACTCTCTACAACTACCTGAAAGGTGGTTGTAGTTAGGTGGGTCAGGCTCTTCTCCTGGCAGCTAGTGACAGGATGAGAGGACATAACCTTGAGCTGCACGAGGGGAGGTTTAGGTTAGACATTAGGAAGAATTTCTTTGCAGAAAGGGTGATTAGATACTGGAATGTGCTGCCCAGGGAAGTGGTGGAGTCGCCATTCCTTGAGGTGTTTGAGACTGAACATGGCATTTAGTGCCATGGTCTAGTTGACATGGTGGTGTTTGGTCCTAGGCTGGACTTGATCTCAGAGGTCTTTTTCAACCTGAATGATTCTGTGATATGATTTTTTTTGCTAACAAACTCTTTAAAATACACTTTCAGGCAATCCCATTGCTGTTTTATTGCCTCTTCCTGCTGTCTCCTAGATGCCAATGTGAATGCTAATATGTTTGAAATCAGTTGTGATATCCTTCTGACCTCACTGCCTCAAAGATAACGTAGAATGCATTCACAGATGATGTTAAAGGGGTTTTTGTGTCTAAGGGTTCATTGGTGATTTTTCTACCAACCAAATATAAATTTAATCCAAGCTTTGCTCTGCTTTTTGCTCTGTCTCCAAAGGCTCTATCAATGTTTTTGGGAGGAGCACCAGCAGGGCCAGCAGGTACAGGGAAAACAGAAACCACCAAGGATCTGGCCAAAGCACTGGGCTTGCTGTGTGTAGTGACAAACTGTGGAGAAGGCATGGACTTCAAAGTAAGAGCCAAAGATCTGTGTTCTCTGATAAAATGCCAGTTTCTGCTCTTTTTCAGTGCCCAGGATAAGGACACACTCTGAACTTGTGCATAAGTACCTCCCTTAGAGATCCCATGCTGTATGATAATGAAATTTAGTCAAAAAATGCCGATTTTGAATAAATTCCTGAAGGAATTTCAGGTGCTTTCAAGCAGAGAAGCAGTGACTAGATGGTCTGTGTTTAAGCTCTTGATATTGTGATTATTGCTAAGTGCAATGACAGATTGCAAACTCATGTGTGTCGTTAGGAGTTTTAGCATATCCAAAAGTTTGTTGATTCTGAATGTTTTATGTATGAATTGCTGAGAAGTTTTCCTTGCTCTTTCTAGGCAGTTGGTAAAATTTTCTCTGGGCTTGCCCAGTGTGGAGCATGGGGATGCTTTGATGAGTTCAATCGCATCGATGCTTCTGTGCTCTCGGTCATTTCTTCTCAGATTCAGACGATTCGAAATGCTTTAATCAATCAGTTGAAAACGTTTCAGGTAAACATTTAAAAGACAAGTAATTGTGAAGGCTGATCCTGGTTTTGAGGCCAAGATTCAGGGTTAGACTCTATTGTTAGATCAAAGGGCTGTTACTTCTGTAATTCATTTGTGCCAAGCATTTCAAACTCCCTGAGAGATGTTAAATCCTTGCCAATTTCCTAATCCTTTGCTAGTTTATTCCTTTGTGAGGTGGGGAAAAATGTGATCTTAATAGGATAAGGGTAACTAAATGGGATAATGGTATAGCAGCAATTAGGAAGAGGAGTAACTTGCCTTGATGTGGATTATGAGGCTTTGTTTACTACTGTTTCTTGGACATCAAAACCCTCAGACAGATAATTTGGTTGAGGCTTGTGGAATGTCTTGAAGTTTATATTCAAGATACATCCTCCCCACTGTCTGTATCTGGGGGCCTGTCTAAAGCTAAGCATTTCAACACTTTGTCCTAAGTGGATGCCCCACTATTGCTGGTTTTCTCTTTGAGCAAACCTGGTTATTTATTTCAATTCCTATTTCCCATTGTTCTAACATTGTCTTATGCCTTTAGTTTGAAGGACAGGAAATTGCTCTTGATAGCCGGATTGGCATTTTTATTACAATGAATCCTGGTTATGCTGGTCGGACTGAGCTCCCCGAGTCTGTAAAAGCTTTGTTCAGGCCTGTGGTTGTTATTGTACCAGATCTTCAGCAGATCTGTGAAATAATGCTGTTTTCTGAAGGGTTCCTTATGGCAAAGGTAAGCAAATTTGATGCTCCCATACCCCTGTACACACCCATGTATGCATGGCCAGTGCTTGGTTGCAGCTTACATGTTTGTGACTCTCTAACTTAAATCTCAAACAGGTCCTTGCCAGAAAGATGACAGTGCTGTACAAGCTGGCAAGGGAACAGCTTTCTAAACAGCATCACTATGATTTTGGCCTGAGGGCCCTTAAGTCAGTGTTGGTGATGGCTGGAGAACTGAAAAGAGGATCACCAGACCTCAGTGAGGTAGATTTGCAGCTTACTTACCCTGGGCTGATCATCTTTTTCATTAGGAAGGGAATGTGTTTACCATTCTGGTGTAGTTTGTCTCCTTTGAAAACAGGAGCACTGATGATTTCTGTCTTACTTCACTTTGCTCTTTCTGAGTTTCCTCATGCTCTTTGCCAGCAAGTTACCATCAGAACTCAAGTCAAAGTAGGGAAATCTATGGAAAATGAGGTATTTTACTTCCTGTTAAGTGCAGCTGCAAATAGCCAGCAGAATGTCTCTGGGTGAACAGCAGGAGCTGGGTTTTGAGCAGGGAGTGCTCCAGCTCAGGGGAGCTGTGGTGTGGGACACTCCAGCCATTTGGGATGTGGTTAATATAGAAGGAAAAGGCAGTGCATTGTTTTTAGCTATTGATCAGCTTAATCCTTATAGAATAACCTTTGTTGTTTCCACTAGTAACTGATGGCAAGAAAACATTCTCAAAGCTATACTGAAATAATCAGGCATTAGTTTTTAAAGGTATTTGAATTGCCTCAGTTTATATATTGGTGAGATGTTTGGTAAAGGTTAACTTTGCTATGCTTTGTCTAGGAAGTTGTATTGATGAGAGCTCTGCGCGATATGAATCTTCCTAAATTTGTGTTTGAGGATGTGCCTCTCTTCCTTGGCTTAATCTCTGACCTATTTCCTGGCCTGGATTGCCCTCGAGTCCGTTACCCTGACTTTAATGATGCTGTAGAAGAAGCACTGGAAGAAGAGGGTTATGTTATTTTACCAGTCCAGGTATAAAAGAATGTTAATTGCTTGAGTTTTTTATTGTAAACATTAGGCTGGAAATGCATTGCTGAACTCTGGAGTGGCTCCAGGAAAGCTTAGCTGATACAGATCAGCTGCTGATCTTGTCCACAGAAGTTATGACTGCAGTTTGTTGAATCAATGTTTATTTTTCAGGTGGATAAAGTCGTTCAGATGTATGAGACAATGTTAACTCGTCACACTACAATGGTAGTTGGTCCTACTGGAGGTGGCAAGTCAGTTGTCATTAATACCTTGTGCCAGGCCCAAAACAAGTGAGTATAGAATTTGATACATGGCAATCAGGCTGTAACATGGCACAGACCTGTCTTGTCATGACAGGATCAACAGCTGCCCATAATATTTGCTTGGGTTAACTCGAAATGCTGTTGTGTCATTTTACTGTTGTTTGTCTTGATGTGTCTTTAGGCTGGGATTATTGACAAAGCTTTACACACTGAACCCTAAAGCTATGAGTGTGATTGAGCTGTATGGGATCCTTGACCCTACCACACGTGACTGGACAGATGGAGTCCTGTCCAACATTTTCCGGGAAATCAACAGGCCCACTGACAAGAAAGAGCGACGGTAGGCAGCTGGAAACAATTGTCATGGCTTTTAGATGCTGAGTTTGACATCAATGTGAAAAAAAAACTTTGAACCTGCACTATTTCAAAATCAAATGCTAAATAAATATGAGAGTCTAGGGATCTTCCTGTCTCCTGGGATTTTCTAGCCCCAGTGAGAGGGATGGAAACCATGCAGTTACAAAAAATGAATGGAAAGCTTCAAAACATCTGGACTGCCATTGACACAATTGATGACACATCTAAGTTGTGAGGTATGTTGGTAAAATCAGAGGGCAGTCAGTGCCCCATGGCTCCTGTGTCCACAGGTACATTCTCTTTGATGGAGATGTGGATGCTCTCTGGGTTGAAAACATGAATTCTGTCATGGATGACAACAAGTTACTGACCCTGGCGAACGGGGAGAGGATTAGACTTCAGCCACACTGTGCTTTGCTGTTTGAGGTGAGAAATGACTGTACATTTAATACATGGGAAGAGTTAGATTTTTGACAGACAGGGCTGCAAAGTGGAGAGCAGTTACTGTGGCTGTGCTTTGCTCAAGTGTGTGATGATCTTGTGTGATTATTTGACAGGTTGGTGACTTACAGTATGCATCTCCTGCCACGGTGTCCCGCTGTGGAATGGTCTTTGTAGATCCTAAAAATCTGAGATATAAGCCCTACTGGGAGAAGTGGATCAATGACAGAGAAAATGAGGTGGGAATTTCTGTGCTTGTTCAGAGAGCATCTGTATTAAATACTGAACTGTAGACAGCTGTAGAAAAAACTGTGTAAAGGCAGTTCTGATGTTCTGACAAAAATCTAAGCACTAGGCCTGCAGCAGAGGGCTAAAGAGAATTTCCATCTTTGCTAACCTCTGGTTGTTTCTGAGAAGTGGAGAACGAGGAGATCGATTGGCCTGATCTCCACAGAGTTAACAGTGAGATTGCTTAGGTCCATTAAGTTTAAAAACTCAAGTCCACAGGGAGCTGAAGTAAAACAACTTAGTTGTGTCACCTGATGAATGCAGATCCTCCCCTGCTGAAAACTCAGTCCAGCAGCATCACATTTTTTCATGTGACTGTACTCTGGTTTTGGGAGCAGTGATTCCTTCAAGAACAGCTTTTTGTGTGTTGAGTTATTGTCCTTTTCATTCCTCAGCAAGAGAGAACGGAATTGAATCGTCTCTTTGAAAAATATGTGCCCTCCCTTATTGACTTGATTGTAGAGGGAATTGTGGATGGCAAACATGGAGAAAAGCTGAAGACCATTGTTCTTCAGACAGATTTAAATATGGTAAGGAATAGAGAATAAAGCTTGAAATTGTTTAGCTAAAAAGAAAATGGAATGATGGAGAAAGTAAAACCTTCCCAGATAAAGCACAGGAGTAGAATGTGCTGAAATACAGTTTGTTAGTGATGAGCACCAAGAAACAAAAGAAACAATCAGCTCCTAACAATGCTCTTGTGCTATCTCTAATGCACAGAGCAGTAGATAACACCTTAAGAACAAAAGATCAGCAAACACTCAAACAGCTGAAAACATATGAAAAGTTTTCATGCATCCAAATGGCAATTTTGTTTACAGTGTTGTCTTGTTTTCAACAGGTTGTGCAGTTGACTGTGATGCTGGAAGCCCTACTGGTACAGCCTGAAGAGCCTGATGTTCTGGAGTGTTTTTTCTTGGAAGCTTTGTATTGTTCCTTAGGTGCTTCTCTTCTTGATGCTGGGAGAACTAAATTTGATGAACATGTTAAACGCCTTTCCTGCATGTCTACTGTTCATGATGACAACACCCTGGCTAAGCCAGGGGAGCTGCCAGGTAGGAGCTTGTCATAATTTAACCCAAATCCCATTTATTGTGTTAGAAAAGAGTTTGTTTCCATGAAGGCAGATCACTGTTCTTCTTCCCAGCTAGTTATCTTGGCTGAAAAATATGCTCTTTGAGGCACTGTCACTGAAAACCACATAGAGATACTGATGCTGAATGCCTGTCAGCTACTGGTCTGTCCTCACAGTACAGTAGTTTTCTGTGCCAAGCTGAGGAGATAAACAGTGAAGGAAAAAACAAAATGTGAAAGGAAAACCACTGGAAGGTGCTTAAAAAGTGATATTATGATTCGGGTGCTGGACTAGGAGAATTGTGGTTGATGCCTTTGTGGGTTAAATGACAAGTAAACAAAACAAAGTGTTGCCTGACTTGGTCCAGAATCTTACCCTTCATTTGCATCTCAATCAGATTGTTTTCTTATGAAATATTTCAGTGTCCTTGAAAACTTGCAGTTGCTTAATGGTTTGCAGGTCAGCTGCCAACTTTGTATGACTTTCATTTTGATGGATCTCAAAAAACGTGGGTACCGTGGATGAGACTTGTTCCTGAATATATTCATAAGCCTGAAGTGAAATTCCTGGACATTCTAGGTGAGCGTAAGAAAAAGTACAGCAATGATACACCTTTAGTGTGTGATGTGCCACCACTGAGTGCATGGCACTTGACATGAGACATCCTCTTTCTGTCCCGAAAGTTACCTACTCACATTCAGTTTCTTGTGAATGAGAAAATCAATTTCCCTACTGTTCTTGTCATAGCAGTTTAGCAGTGGTAGAGCTGATGTGTAATAAAGGAATGAGGAAAGGATGAAAGCTCATTTCAGTTAATAAGGCTTACTAGGAGCTAGCAATGCCTTTTACAAGCCAGAACAGCAGAAGATTTGCAGTTTGCTCTACCAAAACTTCTAGGGAAAACATCAGCTCTGAAGTTCAGGTACTCAGCAGATAAAAATTACCTTCTTAGGGCTGTTATTGGTTGGTACTTCAACCACTGCATAATGATGACAGGTGCTGTTCATAGTTAAGGACGAATTGAGGCACTTTATCAATCACAGGTTAACTTCACTGACACAAGAGATAATCATATGACCTCTGAAGCTGCTCCTAATTCAGAGTATTCACATAGAAAAAAATTCATCTTGGTAGAGTTCTGGGAAAATGCTTATGATCCAGATAAATCCTGATTATACCCTTGAAATAGGGATTAAATGGAGCTTAACCAAACCATGACCCCTCCTATATGGAAGATAACATCTCTTTTAATCTATCTGTAGAAGAAAAGCTCCCAGTGCTAAAGGCTGAAAAGAGATGGTTAAGCAATTGAAATTTTCTTTCAGCGTTGTTAGTGAGTTGATAATTCAAAATGTGTCTTTATGTGACTGCATGTTAATACCTTGGGAATGTGATCTAGCAGCATTCTCTGAACACAAATCCCCAGCTGCACTGCATTTTGGCTTAACCAGCTCTCATACTGGTGATCTTTTCCAGTGCCCACAGTGGACACAACACGCACCACTTGGTTACTACAGCAGATGGTGAAGCTCAGACGCCCAGTTGTTCTTGTAGGTGAATCAGGAACATCTAAAACAGCAACTGCACAGAACTTCCTAAACAACCTGGACAAGGACTTTAATGTATGTACGAGGCATTTTGCCTGGTTTATAAAGCTGCATTTTCATTCTTTGTCCTTATGTTAATTTGCACTGTGAAAACTGAGTCTGTGGGTAGCAATATTGACTGGAATAACACGACTGCAAACTCCAGACCCAAAGTGTGGGAATGATTTGAGAATCCTTCAGGAGTTGGTCTCTTCTCCCAGGCAACCAGCAGCAGGACAAGAGGGCACAGACTCAAGCTCTGCCAGGGGAGGGTTAGGTTGGATATTAGGAAGAGATTTTTTACAGAGAGAGTGATCAGGGATTGGAATGTGCTGCCCAGGGAGGTGGTGGATTTACCAGCCCTGGAGGTTTTCAAGCTGAGACTGGATGTGGCACTTAGTGCCATGGGCTAGTGACCACAGTAGGGTTGGACTGGATGATCTTGGAGGGCTTTTCCAACCTGATTGATTCTATGATTTTAAAAAGTAAAAATATGTTATTAAAGTGCAAAGAATGGAATTACTTTTCTTTGTTATCTGTAATTCAAGTGAATAATGGACCAGAGAAGCATTTCCTGTACACCTGAGAGTCTAATATAAAGAACATTTTTGATAGCTCTAGTTAAAAAAAAGAACAGGTAAAAATCCATTTCTATCCATGTCCTCCGGTTTGCAGCTGGTGCTGGTGATAAACTTCTCTTCTCGTACGACATCCATGGACATTCAGAGAAACCTGGAAACTAATGTAGAGAAACGAACTAAAGACACTTTTGGCCCTCCCATGGGAAAACAGCTCGTTGTGTTCATGGATGATCTGAATATGCCAAGGGTAAGCTGCCAGTAGTTTACAAGGTATTACAGAAATATTTGGGATAGCACTGATGTGGTCCATTCATGCACAAATCCAGTGAATCACAAGTTAAGGAGAGTCATGGTCAGTGCAGAATTGGATTTCAACTCAAGATCATTGGAAGAGTTGGATTTGTGTGCCATAGAGGTTGTTTCTGGCTGTTAAAATATTTGTCCTATATGTAAGAGAGATCCTGTTGGATCATATTTTTATGTCATTAAAATTCTGTTTCTGTGGCCTGATACTTGGCTGCAGGTTGTGTATTGTGGAAACCAATCCCTTCTGTTTGAAAATGGGACAAAGAGTTTCTGTGCATTTAGTTTATCTCAGAGAAGAGACACTTTTCCCATGGGAGACATTGGAATGAGTGTTCATAATCAGTGCTAGTGCTTGACAGAGTGTCACTCAGTCCTTGTAATGTTCTCCTAAGTATGGAGCACAATATTTCCACATTTGTAGCAGTAATTGGTGTGCTGATGTCCTGTGCTTTAAATATCTTGGCTCTTGTATTACAAAGGTTGATGAATATGGCACACAACAACCCATTGCCCTGCTGAAGCTGCTGCTAGGAAAAGGTTTCTTGTACGATCGTGGTAAGGAGATGAACTGTAAATATCTTCGAGACTTGGGATTTATCGCTGCCATGGGGAAAGCTGGAGGAGGTCGGAATGAAGTTGACCCTCGATTCATCTCACTCTTCAGTGTTTTTAACATACCTTTTCCTTCTGAGCAATCACTGAATTTGATCTACTCCTCCATCCTGAAAGGCCACACTGCGGTAATGTCACTGTTTATAAAGGGTTGCTCAACTTGATTGTTAGTTTTAGATAGACATTTGTTTCTATGTTATTGCAAGACCTGAAATCTTCCGTTATCAGGCAAACCTTGCTTGTTTGCACTGGTGAGGCCACACCTTGAATTCTGTGCTCAGTTCTGGGCCCCTCAGCTCAGGAGGGACATTGAGGGGCTGGAGCAGGTCCAGAGAAGAGCAACGAGGCTGGTGAAGGGACTGGAGCACAAGTGCCATGAGGAGAGGCTGAGGGAGCTGGGGGTGTTCAGCCTGAAGAAGAGGAGGCTCAGGGGAGACCTTCTCACCCTCTGCAACTCCCTGACAGGAGGTTGGAGTCAGGTGGGGGTTGGTCTCTTCTCCCAGGCAACCAGCAGCAGGACAAGAGGGCACAGACTCAAGCTCTGCCAGGGGAGGCTTAGGTTGGATGTTAGGAAGAGATTTTTTAGGGAGAGAGTGATCAGGGATTGGAATGTGCTGCCCAGGGAGGTGGTGGATTCCCCATCCCTGGAGGTTTTCAGGCTGAGACTGGATGTGGCACTTAGTGCCATGGGCTAGTGACCACAGTAGGGTTGGACTTGATAATCTTGGAGCTCTTTTCCAACCTGGGTGATTCTATGATTCTATGATTTCTCTCATTCTCTCTCATTGGGTTTACACAGTTTTGATAAATTCATGAGTTATGTGTAAACATTTAAGTCCGTAGACGATTTGTAAACCTGGTGCTTTTCATAGCTTGCACCCTGTGAATGATTTGGTTACAGTTCCTGTAAGCAAATACACAAAGATCAGCAAACTCTTGCTTGAATGAGTGTGAAAAATGTAATGTAATATAGTAGACTGCATTATTAGGAACCTTAGAACCAACGTTAGGTAAGAAAAGAGCAGTTTAATTTTTCTGCTCTAGAAATGCTGTGGAAATTCTAGTCACTGAGTTTGGTGTTATCTTCAACACTCAGCTAGCTCCAGAGTGAAGATGGAGCCTGCCCAAAACATTTAACAGCAGAATGTTCATCCTACAGAGTATTTCTGGATAGATTTGAAATATCCCAAGCAGGCTTAAAGGCTGGAAAGCAGATTAGGTTTAATAGCATTGGGTTCTCTCTGGGCAGTCTCATAAAAACACCTCTTCTTTCTCATGTTTGCAGGTGTTTAATGAGTCAATATCAGCCATCTCTGACAAGATTACTCTGTGTACCTTGGAGCTTTATAAAATGATTATTAGTGACCTACCCCCTACTCCTTCCAAATTCCATTACATATTTAACCTAAGGGATCTTTCCAGGATCTATAATGGACTTATCCTTACAAATCCAGAGAGGTAAGAATAAACAAATTGTCTTCAGTGGTCCTACCCCTATTTATATTGGATGAATCTGGGTGAAGATGAGGTAATTTGGTGCATGAAATCAGTCACATTTGGTCACTTTTCATTAAACCTGTGCCACAGTGAGGAATAGAACATCCTAAATTGTGGTCTTCCTCTTGATGGCAAACACTGGTGCATTACTCTTTCATAAATAAGATGTCTAGAGGTAAAAATGCAAGCAAATTAGTTACTACGAAGTGAACAAGATCAAAAAGAGTCAAAAAGGAGTGAGAAAGGCAGTCCAGAATTTGGTCAGTGTTACTAACCATATGGCCTCAGGAATTGTGTCAGCTCATTTGGTGCAGTTTGATATTTTGCTGTTAATTCAGGTTTCAAACAGTGACCCAGATGGTGAGAGTTTGGAGAAATGAGTGCCTGAGGGTATTCCATGACAGGTTGATTAATGAAGCAGACAAAGCATTGGTGAGTAATTTCTTTCAGGTTTTAGTAGTCACTGACTATTACTATGGCAATTAATTTGCAACAGCAACATTGCCAACTGTTGGACTCAGGTCTTGCAGTCCAACTGCAGACTTGTCTAATCAATATGTTGCTCATTAATTTAAAACATGGTCCACAGAGGGTTTTTTTCTAAAATAAAGTGACTATGGCAGGCTGAGTAAGCAGATCTGCTGAAGGAATGGAAAGTAGCACTTGGTTTGCCTGCCCAGGAAGATTGGTTGGCAGTAGAACAGGTGGCAAAGTGTGAGAGCAGTGCAGGAGAAAACTCAGGAAATCAATTCTAGTCAGTATTTTCCTTCAGGAAGGATTGTGTTAGAACATGGCTGTAGCCTTCTACCCTTCAGAATCATCTGCTTTGAGGTGTTGCCTGACTCATTTCATATCCTTGCAGGTACAAGGTCACATAAAGAACTTGATTGAAGAGCACTTCACAGATGACTTGGAGCAGGCCATGAGGGATCCTATTCTTTTTGGAGATTTCAGAACAGCTCTGAATGAAGAAGAACCTCGTATCTATGAGGATATCCAAGACTATGATGCAGCAAAAGCTATCTTTCAGGTACTGTGCACCAGCTTGGAGCTAGGTCTGAGGAATGGGCAGGAACCTACCTCAAACTGTGGGAAATCTGCTCTCTTCCTGTGTGCACATAGAATTTTATGTGCCTTGATACCCATTTGGGGTCTGCAGTAATGAAAACTGAGGATCAGCTACAGAGTCACCAATAGTTTATTTTCCCTGAGGAACAGAAAAGGAATAATGCTGCTGAAGGGATTGTTACTTAATGAATGCTATAGTTGCGTTGGTGTCCTAGTAACATTCTGTTCACCTTTCTCTGCAGGAGATTTTGGAAGACTATAATGAATTTAATATTAAAATGAATCTGGTTCTTTTTGATGATGCTTTGGAGCACTTGATCCGGATACATCGCATCATACGGATGGACCGTGGGCATGCCCTGCTCGTGGGAGTGGGAGGCTCAGGAAAGCAGTCTCTAACCAGACTGGCTGCCTATACAGCTGGATATGAGGTGAGGGACCCTGAGTCTGTGTGGGGAGAGAAGTCAAGGAAAGCAATATTGTGATCAGGATGAAATTGGGGGTGGGGAGTAAGTCAATCAGTCGAGACAAGATCAGGCTGCCATCTCTTCCCTGGGGAGAGAACCCAGGGTTGGGTGATGGCCAGGAGGTCTAAGGTGATGACTGTGGGTGATCTGGGCAGAAAGCTGTCAGTGCCTGAATCGTGGTTTTGGCACTGGGGACAGAAAACAATGATGGGCTTGGCAATGAACAACTGATAGGCCTTAGCTGCTGCTGGTGATACTCAGGTGTATTACAGCAGCACTGCAGTGCTGCTTGAGCACCCTTGTTGGGATTGATGCTGTATTATTTCAGAGAGGAAATGTTCCTCTCAGAGCCACTTCCAGTCTCTTGCAAAGGCTTGGGAGGAAAGAACTCAAAAGGAAGATGAACACAAAGCAGTTTGGAAAACACAAACCTGCAGGGTTGTAAACATGTAACTTGAAAGAAGAATGTAGTGCATCTCTTTTTGATATTTAAACATTTAGTGATAACAGGGGCCAAACCCTCAATTCAGCCTAACTGAAATTCAGAGTTACCATCATACCTTGGGTCCCTCTGTGTCCTCTCAGTCTGTGTTTCATCCCCAGGTGTTTGAGATCATCTTGAGTCGAGGATATGGAGAAAATAATTTCCGAGAAGATTTGAGAAGTTTGTACCAGAAGTTGGGGATTGAGAACAAGTCAATAGTGTTCCTGTTTACGGATGCACATGTAGCAGAAGAGAGTTTCCTGGAACTCATCAACAACATGTTAACTTCAGGTGGCTCAGGCAGCCTCAGTTACTCCTGATCAGTGTCTACTTGTGACTCATAATCTCAAATGTACCCTTGATACAGCTATTACTGGTTCACCCTGTGTCCTCTGCTGCTTTAGTTAGTTATACCTTTCAGTACTACTTGAAATGATCTTGGCCTTAATAATGGGTGTCTGGCATCTTCTTACAGTCATTCAGGTGTGTCTGGGAAGGCTATAGGCTTCATTCACACTGGTCATGATGCTGCAGGAGTCTCAGATTTCTTCCAAGACAGACTGAGGTATAACTTCAGCTGCATTTGGCCACAAACTCACCTTTTGTCCACCATCCAAATGCTTTGGAATAGCATTCACCCAAACTGCAGCAACTACTCACATATATATATATCCTAAAATGTAGTTTAGTATCTTTTAGTGTATGCAGCAGCTGGAAATGAGCAGCAGCTGGCACTGTGTGACCACCCTCTCTATAGAAGTTCCCACACAGTCTGATTTGAAAACAGATGTGTTAAATCTTATGCATTTCCTTGTTCTAGTTTTCCCTGTTCCTGGTCTGTCATTAGGTAACTTATGCAGTATTTGCCATGTGATTGAGAGAATGAAAATGTGACACTTACAGAGATTTTCTTTGCAGAGTTAAAAGCGCTTTATGTTCTTGAGACATTTTGTATATGTTGCTGAAGCCCAAACAAAAATGCATTAATTTTTCCTCTAAATCCCTTTGCATCATCCTAAGTACAGCCTGTTTTCCATGGGGGCTATGGGGAGGAGGAGAAGCATAGAGAGATTAATTGGTTCTTTCAAAGCTTCTCTGAATCATTTTTGCAGCACTAGGATTAAAATCTGTGACTCTGGTTTCTCATCTGCCCCATCCCCAGCCATATGGTTTCCTCTTACTGGTTGTTCTCACTAGCATTTTTCTGTCCTTATGTTGCAGGAATGGTGCCAGCCCTTTTTGCAGATGATGAAAAAGACTCCATACTAAGTCAGATTGGAGATGAAGCTTCTAAAGCTGGCGTGAACCCAGGCAAAGATAGTGTCTGGCAATATTTTGTGAGCAAATGTGCAAACAACCTGCACATTGTCCTGGGAATGTCCCCAGTTGGGGATGACCTGAGAACATGGTGCAGAAATTTCCCAGGTATCAATTGTACACACTCTTTAGTCCCTTCCCTGTGAAACACAAATCCACAGACAAGAGAAACCCTCCAGTGGACACTGAGAGGTGTCTGGCAGCTGAAGCTAAGCAGAGCAGGTTTCATGATTAAGGATTTACAGTGCATGGGTTTTTTTCCAGTTAATTACCACATATCAGCAAACGTTATTGATTAGCATTTATCAGATCAGTTCATTTTCCAGCTGAACAGCTAGAAATCAATTGGTCATCCTCACTGAACTGGAAACACACAGCATATGTCTGAGCCTTTCTTCTGTACTTTAACATGAGAATTTATGGTATCAGATCATTATGAAAATGGGATGGTGGTAAGAGAAACATTTTTATATCCAAAGCCAAAAAATGGGCATGGTGAGAGGGACATCCACTGAGAGAAAAAACACCTGAGCCTGAGGGATGCTGTGCTTCAGCAGGTGGCTGAGAGGAGTCTTGGGGAAATGAAGAGACATGTGAAAGGTGGGAGCAGGTGGGGATGCTAACCCAGGCACTAAAATACCTCCTTGCAGCTCTTGGCTGTGTCCTGTAAAATGGTAGAGCCTAAAGAATGGCACAATGGGGTTAGCAGGACACAGGGGCAAAGCTCTTTGTTTACTGTCAGTATGGAAGTATTGACTTTGTGGTAAATTCTGTAGCTAAGCATAAGTGAAATAAGACAGATTTACAGATTCTTGATGCAAATATAGTTAACCAGGGCACTGCCTGTCAGATTAGGGGCTGGTTTCACTAACACTCTCTTTCTATTTAAAGGTCTTGTCAACAACACTGGTATTGACTGGTTCTTGCCCTGGCCCTCCCAGGCCTTGTTTGCAGTTGCAGAATCCTTTGTGGGTATGTAAGATGTCAGTATTTTAAGCCATTAACCCTTGGTACAGCCCAAGAAACATATTCTTTACTTCGCAGTTATTGTAGGTATCACAATTTGACTTCCCATTGTGCTTGTTACCCTGAGTCTGAACGGGTGATACAAAAAAACCCAGTCAAAAAATGCTACTGGGTAGTTGTTTTTTACTCAAATAGATTAAAAAATTGCTAAAATTCAAGTTCCCAGCTCTGCAGACAATGTGAGCTGCCTGTCAGGTTTTCTTCTGACTCTGTCTTGATCTTGCTTTTTGCCCCAGAATGCAGACTGGTTTTGTGCCTAAGAATGGTGGTAAGTGGTGTACTCTGAAAGAAACCCACAAATCTTTGAATTTTTTATTTCTTCTGCCCCAATTTTAGGAAATAACAAATTCATCCCAACTGAGAGCTGCGAGTCAGTGATTGAGCACATGGTCATGGTGCATGAATCTGTAGGGCATTTCAGCAAGAAATTTCAGCAGAAACTGAGACGTAGTAATCATGTCACACCAAAGAATTACCTTGATTTTATCCACACTTACTCAAAGCTGCTGGAGGAGAAAAATGAGTTCATTTTAGGTAAGGCTCTGGTTTGACATTGACCCAATCTTCTGGCCACATGCGACTATTCAGACTCTGCTGTCAAACACTGAGCTCTCCTCGAATTCTTTTGTGCATGAACCTGAACCAGAATCTCCAAACCAGACACTTCTCTGCTTGGGGAAGAGTCTGATTAAATCTAATACCAGCACAGCCTCACTCATGGGTTGACATTCTTCCTCAAATAGCACCTCTTATTCATACTTCAGTGAGCACTGAAATATGTGAAGAGGATAAAACAGTGTAATATGGAAGGCAAGTTGTGGCAGGGGACACTGTGTCAGCTCAAGTGCCATTCACATCATCTTGGGTGGGAGGCTTAGGGAAGGAAAAATCTCTCAGTGCACCTATCAGCATATTTACCCTTTGTGAGGTTGTTGCTGTGTGATAGAACACAATGAAAGAACATTTCTCCTTCTTCTTCCACCTAGCCCAATGCAAACGGCTCGATGGGGGCTTGGTTAAACTGAAGGAAGCTGCTGTACAACTGGCTGAGCTGAACCAAAAACTTGCTGAGCAAAATATTGTGCTAACAGAAAAGTCAGCTGCTTGTGAGGCTTTGTTACAAGAGATTTCAGCAAACACAGAAGCAGGTAGGTAGTTTACAACTACTGAAGTGTCCACAGATCTGATGTTGTCCGTGTTGGGTTGGGTTGGATTGGAAGATGCTCTAAGAGCTCCAGCTGCTTCTGGAGGTAACCCTCTTGTTCTATGTGTGCTGCTCTCATGCCAGGCCAGAAGAGCAGGGCCCTTGCCTGGCCCAGATTTCCATCTTTGCTCTACATTTGGCCTACAGGACTTTACACAAGTCAGTGCTATGTTTGCCTGCCCTTGTCTTCCCTTCCCAAGGTGTGGGAAAAGCAGTGGCAAGAAAGGGACCTTCTGACTCAGAAAATTCATATTAGAGGAAAACCAGAAGAAAACACTTTGGGAAAAAGAGATTATCCATGCTATTGTGTGAAACAGTAACTGTCCCTAACCTGGTGGTGAACCTGTAAACATAGGCAAGCTAGCAACACAAAGGTTCTGAGTTAATGGTTATTTCTGATTTTCAGCAAAGAGTAAACCTGTATCAGTATATTACTCTATGTTCTGGATGTAGATGTCAGTAATTCATTTATGGTCCTGTCTTTACATTCCTAGCTGAGGAGAAGAAAAAAATGGCTGAAGAAAAAGCTGCAGAGATACAGGAACAGAATCAGGTTATTGCTGTGGAGAAGGCAGATGCTGAGACAGCTTTGGCTGAAATCAAGCCTATTTTAGAAGCTGCCAAATTGGAGGTTGAGAAGCTTGAAAAGGGTGATGTTACTGAACTCAGGTGACTCATTTGGATATATAGCAGCATAAACTCTTGGAAAGTCACTGAGAGACCCTTATTTGCAGGGCCTGAGCCTTAGCGTCACCTTTCTCACATGTCTGTGAAGGTCAGGACAGGTCTGGGTGCAGAGGTCACAACGGAGTCTTCTGATTCCTAGCCAGGACTTGACCTTAAGCCAGTTGTTCCAGTCCTTTGTTTTCTGTCTTCCATATTTCTCTACCCTGTGTCTGATGCACGAGAACCTGCTGTGGTTTTTCCCTGAGCAGCAGCTGTCTAAACATGTTCATTCCTCCTCTGTTTTTATTTTAATGTGTGAATAGGAATACATACCTGTTATTTTTCATGGATGCTTTCATACTGTTTTTATTTTAATGTGTGAATAGGAACACATACCTGTTATTTTTCATGGATGTTTTCATAGCATGAAAATGTATTTTCCTTCTGAATTAACTTCTCCCTGTGTTTCTATAATACATCTTGTATTTGGGAATAGATTTAGAAGCACATCCAGTCCTTGGCTTTCCTGGAAATAGCTGTCCCCAAAATAGCAACAGCTCTGCTTTCCCTGCCACACTGGTTTAGTTTCCTTTCTCTGCTAGATCTCAGAATTCTGCTCCCAATGGACAGCTGCTTCACCGCCCTAGGGAAAATATCATGGCTCAGGGTTTTAGGCCTTCCACTGCTGAAATCCTTTAGTATTTCATGGATCAAATTGTCTGAATGCAAGAATTGGTTTTAAGCTTTTGAGTAGTTAATGATTTATTGTCTGAGCTGGGTTATCTTTTTCTGTGTGACTTGTCTTGTCTACAAGCTCTTGTACTGCAATGACTCTCTTAAGAAGAAGTACTTGTGTCTGGCATCATGTGCTTTGTCTCTTCTTTTTTCTCTTCCACTGTTTCCTTCACCTGTTTTCTAGGTCCTTTGCAAAACCCCCTAAGCAGGTGCAGGCTGTTCTGGAATGTATTCTGATAATGAAAGGATCCAAAGAGCTGAGCTGGAAGGCAGCCAGGGCAATGATGGCTGACCCATCTTTCCTGCAACATCTGTTGGAGACGGATTTTAGGTCAATTCCTCCGAGCAACGTGAGAGCTATGCGAGGTGAATTCCTAGTCTGCATGCTTGGAATGAACAGAGGATCTTGTTCATGTGGTTAGCCAAGTCACCAGCAGTCCTTGCAGTGTAGTTTGGGAGGGTGGGACTGAATTTGTGCTGAGGGACAGCATTGTCCACAGTGCTGTAGGTGCTGCACTGTCAGGATGACTAGGCTTTTCAGAGTTCTAAGACCTTCTGCTATGTGTTCCATCCTGTTTGTATCTTACCTAAGGTCTTTCTGCCTCAAAGCAGGCAAGAAACAAACAGGGTAGCTGAGCAGGCCTGCTGTCTGCTTTTAGCTGCTGCTTAGTAGAATTACAACCTCATCCTTGTGCTAGCAATTAAAATGTGATGTATACAGAGTGGAAACAAGATAAGATTTATCTAAACTTCATGGGCCAAACTTTGCACAGGCTTTCAAAGGTGTAATCCAGAGTTAGCTCCATTAAAGGGGGAATTTGGGTCTTGGAACAAAATTGCATCTGACTGACATGCTGAACAACTCCTGAATGAATTTCATGGAGAAAGAACTTGAGAAACTAGTAGCAATATTGTGCTTGTTTACTTACAGTCCAGTAGCTTCATCTGAAAGTCAGAGTGTCTTTAATATTCTGACAAATGTTCAAATTGTCTGTCACAGCATTGGTTGATGTTGCTGGTAGGAAAAGCTATTTCTTTGGGGATTTCTGCACTGCAATTCAACTCACCTGCAATATTTTTGTGTTTGCCAATTTAGCTCTGTTGAAGAATCTTAATGTTACCTTCAGTGAGATGGAAGCTATTAGCAGAGCAGGATTGGGAATGTTAAAGTTTGCTGGAGCAGTGGTGTCCTACTGTGATGTAGTTAAAGCCATCAAGCCAAAGGAAGAAAAGGTAAAGTGTGTTGGATTTAAACTCAGAGGAGGATGAAGCATGATGATGAAAAGTATGATACTTGACAATATCATAGACTGCTCACTTCTCTTGAAGTGCTTAAGAAGTGTTTAGCAGAGTTATTGCAGTAGGAGTGAGGCAACTACTCAGTCATAAACTGCTGTGTGTTGTGTCATGATGCTGGGATGTGAGTTACCATCCATACCAGTGCTTGAAGGAGGAGAAAGGAACATGTTCAGTTGGAATTTTATAATCTTACATGCCTAGAAAAACGCAGTTTATAGCTGTCTACTGAAAACAGACTTCCAAACTCATGGCATTTGGACAGAGCAGAGCTCAGCGGTACACAAAATCCATGTTCCTTTGATTTTTTAGAACATTTGGGAAGTTAGCTGTGTCACTAAAGGAAATCTAAGGTCCAACAGGTGACACTGGGGAACTTCTTTCAAGAAAAAGGTTATTATATACAACTCTCTATTGAGAAAGTCTATTCACTAGATGATGTGTCAGAGGCCTTAATATTATTAGAATTGTAGGGTCATCAAGGTTGGAGGAGACCTCTGAGATCATCAAGTCCAACCATTAACCTGCCACTCTGCTGTAACCCTTGTTGTTATGAAGCAGACAAACCTCTCCTTTTGTCAGGGAATGAGAGCCCTGCTGACCTCCAGTGTCAGCAAGACCATTCACATGCTGTAATAAACCTCATGAGTACAAAATTTGGGGAGATTTATCTGCTTTGGAACTGCAGTATCAGACCATGATATGTATGTTTGGGAAGAGGAGGGTGATAAACAGTGCCAGTTTTTTTGGCTTACACTCCTTATTACTTAACTCTCCAAAACTCTTCTTTCCTCTGACACTCTTACGTTTCCTTCGGAATGTTATGCAGGTGGCTAAGCTGGAACGGAACTATGAGTTAAGGAAGAGGGAACTGGAAAACATACAGAGAGAGCTGACTACCATTCAGGATGAGCTGAAAGCTTTGGGGGACAAATATCAACAGGCAATACAAGAAAACCAACAGTTACAAGAAGAAGCAGAGATCATGCGGAGAAGATTAGAGGCTGCTGACAAGCTCATCGATGGCTTGAAATCTGAGAACGAGAGGTGAGTCTGCAGTGAAAGAGGAACATTTTTGACAGCAGAGGGTCGTGTGTCAGGGATAAAATCTATCAAAGAGAGACATTGTTGGAAATGTCACTTCCCATGAGGTTTGTTTCTGAGAAGAGCTATTATCTGTTCTAAGCTAATATCCATTAGCTCTTGAAAAATAACTCGGATTAAAAGGAATAACATTCAGATCAACTCAGTGTCTGTTGCCATCGTCATAGTGAGAGAACCACTGGTTCTAAATTTGGGGGTCTGTCTCAACCCATATCTAAAGTAGCAGCAGCTGGAAATTCTTCACATAAACCCCATCTCCCTGGTGCAGATTGACCCAGGATTCCCTTATCATTCTGTCAGGTGGACAGAGGATTTTAAGGAATATGAAATCCGAAAGGTGAAGTTGCTTGGAGACTGTCTACTCTCTGCTGCCTTTCTGAGCTATGAAGGAGCATTCAGCTGGGACTTTCGTCATGAAATGATCTATGGAGTGTGGCAAGAAGATATCCTCTCACGAGACATTCCTGTCAGTCAACCATTTAGGTTAGAAAAGCTCCTGACTGATGAGGTGGAGGTTAGCAGGTATGTCCAGCCAAGAAACTCAGTGACTACTGAGTGTGAGATTATAACATGGGAATCTGCAGCTGAATCTGTACACAGAATTGGGATTGTGGGTGGAGGAGCACAGCCATACCGAGAGGGAACATCTTACTGCCATGTAGAGAAGGAGAAAAATTATTTTCCTTCTGGTTAGTGGAGGCCATTTGTTCTAACAAACCATTGTGCTTTACATTCCAGGCACATTCACTGAACTTAGACACATGTACCATTTTTAGGAATTTTTTAAAGGAGTTCTCTATGTGTTCCTATGATCCAGCAGGTGGCTTTTCATTAACCTCAATGAAGTTGGTATTGAACCCGTGCCCAGACAGCCCATGTATCAACTGCAGGATTGCTCACAAAGGCACCAGTCAGTGTTTTGGGCAGTGTAGTCACAAATCACTCAGACAATGAGTCAGTCTGAGTTTTGCTGCTCTTCCCATAGTCCACACACTCTGTATGTTTCCTTGTGGTCTGATCGTGTGCTCAGCGAATTGCATCATTTTGCTGACAAATGAAATGTGCTGCTCTCCCATTGAGTTTTCATCCCAGCCTAGCCTTGGATCCCTTCTGTTCCCAGGTGGGTTTCCCAGGGATTGCCTCCTGATGAGCTCTCTATCCAGAATGGCATCCTGACAACATATGCCAGTCGCTTCCCGCTGTGTATTGACCCACAGCAACAGGCACTACACTGGATTAAGAAGAAAGAAGAGAAAAATAATCTGAGGGTAAAGAGAAAAGATTGTTTTACCTTGTTACTGGTTGTTTTCAAAGCTGCATGAGTATCTGTCACTTTGAGTGGAGAACCAATTATATATTATAGAGTCATGGAATGGATTGGGTTGGAAGGGACCTTCTAGTTTCACCCCCCTGCCATGGGAAGAGACCCCTCCTCACTAGACCAGGTTGCTCAAGGCTCATCCAGCCTGGCCTTGAATACTTCCAGGGATGGGGCAGCCACAGCTTCTCTGGGCAACCTGTGCCAGAGCCTCAGCAGCCACTGAGTAAACAATTTCTTGCTTACATCTAATCTTGCCCTGCCCTCTTTCAGTTTAAAGCCATCCCCCCTTGTCCTATTGCTAAATGTCCTGGTCAAAAGTCCCTCTGCAGCTCTCTTGGAGCCCCTTTAGGCACTGGAAGGTGCTATAAAGTCTCCTCAGAACCTTCTCCTCTTCAGGATAAACTACCCCAACTCTTTCAGCTTGTTTGTACATGCATCTAATCAAAAAGGAGAGTGTAGATTGTGTTTTAGCTCAGCTCCAGGATGGAGTTTGCATGTAGGACAGTAAACACAGTCAGAGGCACAGTTAGCACTTTGAAGAGTAGTTCTCCAAATGGAAATTATTCTCTAGTAATCAGAAAAAAAGCACCTTTACTGTTCTGTAAACAGTGCAGTTTGTATCATCTGTGAGGGGAAAGACAAAAAGCAGCAAAGAGCAAGTATTGGTGCTGGCAGCTCTTGTAAAATAATAATGTTCATCACAGTGAATGTCAGTTCTCCTTTCACAGCTTCCCATTTTTCTCTTGCAGGTGGCTTCCTTTAATGACCCAGATTTCCTAAAACAACTAGAACTGGCCATAAAGTATGGAAACCCTTTCTTGTTGCATGGGGTTGATGAATATATCGATCCTGTGATAGACAACGTCCTGGAGAAGAATATCAAAGTTGCACAGGGGAGAGCATTCATTGTCCTGGGGGACAAAGAGGTTGACTATGACAGTAATTTTAGATTGTACCTGAACACTAAATTGGCAAACCCAAAGTATTCTCCCTCTGTGTTTGGCAAAGCTATGGTTATCAATTATACAGGTAAGCACAAGTGTGTGTTTAGCAACAAAGCAGTGATTATGCTGTAGTGCAAATTTAGGGCCTGGTTTGTTGTCTGAAACCTCAGTGAAATTCTCGTAGTCTCCCTTGTATTTAGCATGTGATTTATCAGAAAATCCTTATCACTTCTCTCTTCTAATCTGCAGCTGAGCTAAATATCTCTTCCTGCTCCTGTCAAGTTAAGCAGCTGTGGTTGAATTAAGATACAGAGTCAATAACCAAGTCACTCTGGTGCATTGCTGTAGTTTTATGAGGTGCTTGAGGTTAAATAAGTTGTGTCAAAGCTCTGCTGTGTTTCAAACCAGCCTGTGCTGTGTCCATGTGTTGCACTGCAGTTACACTGAAGGGCCTGGAGGATCAGCTGCTCAGTGTCATTACGGGTTTTGAACGGAGGGAGCTGGAAGAGCAGAGAGAACGTCTCGTCCAGGAGACCAGTGACAACAGAAACCTGCTGAAAGATCTGGAAGACTGTCTGCTTCAGGGACTGACATCTTCCACAGGAAACATGGTGGACAACTTGGAACTGGTGCAAACCCTGGAAGAGACAAAGTTCAAAGCTACTGAGGTACCAGCTCAGGCTTTTTCAGAGGGTTATCTCCTAACAGAACATAGTCTTTCCTTTTATTCACTGTGCTTCCATCTTTCACCCTTGAAGCTAGCAATTAGTTTGAAAGGAAGTGGAAAGATTTCTCGTGAGCATGTTGCATCTCTCAGTATTGAGCAGAATTTTAGAGTTCAGAGAACCAAATCCCATCTTCAGAGAAGTCCCTAACAGGACCAAAGTAATGGCTCTTTACAGTTCTAAAGCAAGAATGATGTATTCCTTTCAGCTCTGAAGCAGCCTTTGTCTTGTAGCAGATCTGACCTGAAAAACTGAGATAATTCATACTCAGAGAGGATGTAGAATCTTCATCCCTGGAGGTTTTCAGACCATAGTTGGGCTAAGCCACAGTGGACCTGATCAAAGTGGTGGTCATACTCCAGCTTTGGGCAGAAAATTGAACTAAAGATCCCCAGAGGGTCTTTCCCACACTATTTCCATGATTTTGTGTAAAGCTTTGCCTTTACTTTTCATAAATACCCAGGGTGGGATTAATTTTATCTAACTTTGGATTTTGATAATTGATCCAGCTTCTTTTGGGTTACTTGCCCAGATTCCCTATACAGAGAGGCAGGCACTGAGCAGCTCTGGTTATTGTGCCATAACATACACACTCTGGATCAGTGCAGGAGTTACAGGTGTATAAAATCCCTCTTTGGTCCAGGTGATTGAGAAACTGAAGCTTGCAGAGACGACAGCGGCAGATATCGATCTCCTTCGAGACGGCTACAGACCAGCTGCCAGGAGAGGAGCCATTCTCTTCTCAGTTTTGTCTGAAATGGCACTTGTCAACATCATGTATCAGTTCTCACTGGTTTCCTTCTTAGAGGTGTTTGGACTCTCTCTTCAGAAATCCATGCCCAGTCCTGTTCTTCCAAAGAGGTTAAGAAACATCATGGATACACTGACTTTCAACACCTACAACTATGGCTGCACAGGTCAGTGCCTTGTAGTGATGGGTTGAGACTGTGTTGTGCAAAAAAAAGGCAAAGTCAGTTGGGTATGTCAGAGAGGCAAGTTCCAGCAGTGAGTTCAGTGATGCTCAGGTCTCAGCACTGCTCCTGGTGTACACTTTACTCCCTGCTCTTTGTGTTAGAAGGAACCACACACTTAGCTATGCAACTCTTGCAGAAATGCTGTTCTTAACACAGTTAGCAATGGGAAATCACAGCTCAGGTCCCTGGATGGAGCTCACAGGGTAAGCCTGATCCAAAGCCCCATCTTTGATCACTCTCATCATGGAATCATGGAATTACTAAGGCTGGAAAAGACCTTTGAGATCATCAAGTCCAACAGTCAATCAGCTGATCTTTGTGGGGTGACCAGATCATAGAATCACTGAATCATGCAATCTCAGAATAGTTTGGGTTGGAAGGGACCTTTAAGACCATCTAGCTCCAACCCCCTGCCATGGGCAAGGATGCCACTGGCTAGATCAGGTTGCTCCAAGCTCCATCCAGCCTGGCCTCAAACACTTCCTGGGAACACATCCCCACAGCAGGGGCAGGATGTGGGCTTGGATTGCTCCAGTTCCATGAGCTTTAGCAGCTGGTTTGTGAGAATATTGTCCTTTTAACGCAGGCTTGTTCGAGAAGCACAAGTTACTGTTCTCCTTTAATATGACTGTCAAGATAGAACAGGCTGAAGGCAGAGTTCCACAAGAAGAATTTGAGTTCTTTTTGAAAGGTAAAGTGAATATTTATATATAAATATGTAGCTATAGCTAAAAGGTCTTTTGAAGGCAGATTATTTTTTTTTACTAGATGCGGTTTACTGAGAGCTAACACCTCAAGAAACCACTGAGGAGAGCTCTGTGCATTGGTTGACACAAACTGGGGGTTCTGCTATGTCTGGATTTTTCACTTTGGTGAACAGCAAAGAGGCTGAACCTTCTCTGCAGGTGTTGACAAATCTCATATTAGCGAATTGTTAGGGTATTACCTGAGAAAATAACCTGTAATTGTCTGACTGTACATCACTTTCACGAGTACATCACTTTAGAAATGGTTGCAAAGATGCAACTTTGGTTTTTGCAAGCACTTGTAGAATTCCATCTTCTCTTCAGCAGACAAGTCTGATCTTACAGTGCTTCCAGAAACAAATTTCCAGTTGCTCCCTCAGTGCAGTGGGACTGTGTGTGTGGTCATGTGTTGCAGAGTTTCTGACAGGGACACTCACTCTCCTTTCTGCCCGTGACTAGGCAATATTTCCCTGGAGAAGAGTGCACGGAAGAAACCTCATGCTTGGCTTCCAGATCAAGGCTGGGAAGACCTGATTCACTTGTCTGAACTGTTTCCTGAGAAATTTGAATCTCTTCCAGATGATGTGGAAAAAAATCCAGATGTATGGAAAAATGTAGGTGTTTTTTTTGCAGTCCTGCTCTGTCTGCTTGTTTCCCTCCTGGGATTGAGTGTTCGAGTACGATGTGCCACAGCAGGAGGTGTGGCACTGCAGGCTTCTTGCTTTTCTTCTTGACCTCAGCTGCTGATTGATTCGCAGAAAAATTAAGGATTTACATAAACACCCCCAAAAATTCTTCCCTGGTATACTGTAAATTTTATACTTGTCAGTCAAATGCCTTACAGGAGTTGTTTGCCCTGTTGAAGTCAGTGGAATTTATGCTGTTGATTTCAACATTTCCCTGGTATTTTCATGCTGCTAAATTGTACTTTGATCTTCTTGTGCAGTGAGTTCTATAGGCTAGTGACAAACACAGACTTTCCTTTGTTCTGTTGTTTCATTCCATGTCTCCTTGCTTTATAAGAAAGTCTTCCTGTGAACAGTCTGTCAGTACTTTTCTGCTATTTCGTGTATCTTAAGAGAATATAAAGTATAGAATGAAAATACAAATGTGTATCTGGTCTTGAACACTTTATGCTGAAAAAGTTGAACTTTTTACATTCACCTAACCTTATAGCATGTCTTTGCAGCTGATTGACTTTGTTTTCTTTGTGTCTCTTGGCCACTTGTTCATCAAACTGGTTTTGTCTCTTTCCTCATAACTTCCCTGATTTGGCTCCTTTGCATTGTCTGCCATCTTTTCTTGCCAGTGGTATGACACAGATGCCCTGGAGCAGATCCCATTCCCCATGCAGTACCAGGACAGTCTCTCAGCCTTTCAGAAGCTCCTGCTCCTACGGTGCTTCCGTCTGGACAGGCTGTACCGGGCAGTGACCGACTACGTGACAGTGACAATGGGGGAGAAGTAAGTCACTTTCTTCCTTCAAATCCTGATCACACCATCAGGTATTTCACACACAGCTGCTCTGTGCAAACCAGCAGCTTTTTGGGGCTTCTTTCCCCTTCAGGTATGTGCAGCCCCCCGTGATCAGCTTTGAGGCCATCCTGCAGCAGAGCAGCCCTTACTCACCAGTGGTTTTCATCTTGAGTCCTGGCTGTGATCCTGTCACTGACCTCATGAAACTGGCTGAGAGGACAGACTTTGGAGGGGATAGACTCAAATTCCTGGCCATGGGACAAGGCCAAGAAAAGGTAATGAGGGTGGGAGGGTGAGGATGTGCTGTGTGCATCGAGTCTGTGAATGGCAGGCCCTGCTCCTAGTGCTCTGGGACTGATCAAATTTCCTTTCCAAAGGTCTCGTCCATTTTAAAGGAATTCACTGTTCTGGTTTGGGTGAGGTAGATTCAGAACCAGATTGTCAGCTGTTAAAAAACAGTTGAGCTGAAAAGCTGTTACTCTGCAGCCTTTCAAAGGCTGTCAGTGACCTGGAGCTCTGTGTTTGGACATGAGATGGCTGCTACCAAAAAGCTATCCTGCTCCTTTTCATGTAGCTTTCCTTTCTGTTATGGACACTAGGGCAGGATGCCCAAAACTTAACAGCTGACTGAATTTGGCAAGATTTCAGTCCGTGGGAGAACTATCAGAGTCATTTAGACAACCACTTCCTAGACTGATCTTCACCCTCTTCTGGGCTATGCACACCCTTGTCCTGCTTTGAAATACTTCAACGCTCTGTATGACTTTTAATTTCAAAATGAATTTATACTAAAGCATCCCAGAGCAACTTCTTGTGGTGTGGGAAAAGGTTTGTTCTCAGTAAGTGGCATTCTGGTAAGTCTGCTGGAACTAAAAGGCTGAATGTGCTTGTTAGCAGACAGATCTCACTGCATGAGCCCATGGGAGGCAGTGAGCTCAGAGGGGAAGGGAGAATCACTCACACAAGGTTCTTTCCCTCTCCAGATTGCTCTGCAGATGCTGGAGAATGCAGTGGTTGAAGGAGAGTGGCTCATGTTGCAGAACTGTCACCTTTTGGTGAAGTGGCTGATCGAGCTGGAAAAGGCCCTGGAGAAAATTGCAGAACCTCACCCAGACTTTCGCCTCTGGCTGACGACTGACCCGACCAAAGGGTTCCCAGTTGGAATCCTGCAGAAATCCTTGAAGGTGCTGTGCAGTGGGGAAACCCCAGCCAGGAGGGCCTGTCCTGCCACTGCTGCTCAGCAGAAGAGCTGAGCTGTGGCAGGAGCCTGACCCGGGTGCTGACCTGGGCTTAGGAACTCACTTTTTGTCTTTCTAATCCAAATCCTCTTTTCATCATCCTGTTTATCTCCCTGTGATGTTTCCTGTGAGTGAGAGCTGTTCAGCACTTCTGAAGCAGCTGTTTCAAAGTAGAAGTTTGTGAGTGAACCTGGAAATGTGACAAACACTCTTCAGATCCAAATGCTGCCACAAGTGAGGAATGTCCAGAGAGCCAGAATCAGCCCTGTCAGTCCCAGAGGTGCAGTGCAGCACCGAGGCCTGAGCCTGGCCTGGCAGCAGTGCCAGTGCCACAGACGTTGGAATAGGATAATGGTTTCCAGCTGCTACTTCAGGCTGCAGCATTTACCACCAGAAGCTGAGCTGATTATTTTGCAGGCACAAGCCATGATTCTGGCCTGATGTTCTTTTTTTTCATGGCTGCTTTACTGCTGCTGTGGTGACCAGTCCTGTAACAGCATTATTCACTCCAGAGATGGTGTGACAGACCCAGCAGTGTGTGCTCTGCTGTGACAGGGACAGCTCTGGGCTGTTCTTATCCCACACTGGGGAGAAGTGAGTCTGAAGAGATCTGTAAGGCTGTGGAGCTGCACCCTGAGCAGTGAGAACAGAGGTTTTAGAGCACTTTGAAAAAGCTGTCAGAAAGCTGCTCTAGGTTTGCTCAGCAGTTAAACCATCACCCTGGGGACGTAGGACAGCCCAAAATGTGTGAAGTGTTGGTATTACAGTAAATTAGATCTTCAAGTGTGAGAATTATTGTTTTTCCAACACCATGACGATTTCTAACCTAAGTTTCTCTTTACATAGGTGTGCTTACCTTGATAAACAATTTGTTCCATGTCTTTACTTAAGGAAAAACCCCATACTGATAGGAATTTGGAAAGCTACTTAAAATGTTCAGGCTAGCACTGCACATCTTACTTCATGTGACATATTTACAGCTCATTTTCCTCTAGTTGTCCAGTAATTGATGGTGTCCCTAACTGTTTTGATAGGTTGTTACAGAACCACCTAGTGGTCTGAAGCTGAACATGAGAGCCACCTACTTCAAAATTCCCCAGGAAGCCTTAGAGGAGTGCCCACATCCTGCCTTTAAATCCTTGGTCTATGTCTTGGCATTTTTCCATGCTGTGGTTCAGGAGAGAAGGAAGTTTGGGAAGGTTGGCTGGAATGTACCATATGATTTTAATGAATCTGATTTCCAGGTAAGAAAACAATTACAGTGGCTCTTGCATTCCTGAGGAGCTCAGATTACTTTGAGAACATAGAATTGATCAAATCTGATTGCTTAATAGGTTTTTTTCTGTTTCTGTGGAGTCACATAGACTCCTGATCTTCTCTAATGTCATTGTGGCCACTAAAGCCAATTCCCAATCCTTCATGTTTAGATTGCCTCTCTCATGGGTTTCTTTTCTTCAGAGAATTTATACTTAACCTTTTGATTATTTCAGAAAGAAACAATTGATAGTTTCCAAACCAGAACTACATTAAACAAACTCTCTGAATATGGATATCTGATTTATGAATCTTCTTCTCTCATATATTCCAACAACTTTATTAGGTTTGCATGGAAATCCTTAACACATACTTGACCAAAGCTTTCCAACAAAATGATGGTAGAATCCCTTGGAGCAGTCTCAAATACCTTATTGGAGAGGTGAGTGCCTACAGTGCCTCTTGATGGTAAAAAAAAATCCAGGTAAATGCAGTTTCCTTTCTGCATGGGCTGCTGAGAATCATTTCTGGGCAGGCTTGAAACTCCAGTGTAGCCCTGAGCAAGTGCCTTAATCTGAGTCTCGGGGAAATAGAGCCACTGTGTGTGGTGCACAAGAGGGAGTTGTGGGGCTTAATTAATTGTGAGTGAGAGCCCTGGGGATCTGCTGCTGAAAGGCTGTGAGCAGCACCAGAGCACACTGGTACAGGCACAGTGGGTAGCACTGGGGCTCTACCGATTGGTATTCCCAAAGCTCGTGCAGGGCCCCGTGAAATCCTGCAGAAAACACTTCTTCTGCAGCTCTTAATCTCAGCTGAGCACGAGCTGGTACCTAGGTGATAGAAATCACCCAGATGGGTGAGTAGCAGTGCCCAGAGCAGCTCCCCCAGACCAAAGCCAAACACATCCCACCTGTCCCCCCAGGAGGGGTTCTTGGTATCCATAGGGGAGACAGTGTTACTCCTCACAGTCACTGCAAAAACAGAGAGTATTTTGGACCTTTCATGGATTGGTTTTAAACTGCATTTTCTGCTCCAAAGGCCAAAGCTCTCCTATTGCTGTGCCTCATTTCTAGGTCATGTACGGTGGCCGCGCGATCGATAGCTTCGACCGGCGCGTCCTGAGCGTCTACATGGACGAGTACCTCGGGGACTTCCTCTTTGACACATTGCAAGTCTTTCATTTCTATAAGAATGACAAGGTTGATTATAAAATTCCAGAAGGGACTGTAAAGAATGACTTTGTTGGTAAGAAATGCTTTTCCTGACACATATATTAGCATTAAAAAATGTCTCCTTCCAGCAGACATTCCATACATCCATTGGTGGATATGAGAAGTGTTAAAATCCTCTGCTTTTTATGAGCAGCCCTTTGCAATGTGAGCTTAGCAGTGAGCTCAGTGCTTAAAAAAACCCCACAAAACCTCAGTAAACAGCATGTTAACCTCGTTAAGTGACACATTTCTGTGTATATGTATTTAAGTGTTCCTTCGATCCATGCACTAGGAGCATGGATCCACCAGCTCTAGGATTTGACTTTTTTCAAGCAGAGCAATAACCAGATCACTGCAGTGCTCATGTGAGCTTAGCAGTGAGCTCAGTGCTTAAAAAAACCCCACAAAACCTCAGTAAACAGCATGTTAACCTCGTTAAGTGACACATTTCTGTGTATATGTATTTAAGTGTTCCTTCGATCCATGCACTAGGAGCATGGATCCACCAGCTCTAGGATTTGACTTTTTTCAAGCAGAGCAATAACCAGATCACTGCAGTGCTCTCTGGGGAGGCATGGATCCACCAGCTCTAGGATTTGATTTTTTTCAAGCAGAGCAATAAGCAGATCACTGCAGTGCTTTCTGTGCCTGGGAGCTGTGGGTTAACAGAGCCCCTGTGGTTGTGTTCCAGAGGCCATAGAAGCTCTGCCCCTTTCCAACACTCCAGAGGTGCTTGGGCTCCACGCGAACGCCGAGATCGGGTACTACACGCAGGCAGTGCGCGACATGTGGGCTCACCTCCTTGAGCTGCAGCCCCAAACAGGTGTGTTCTCCATCCAAACTGGGGTTGTAAGTGGGAAATCACGAGGTGGTGAGGGCCTTGCCGTGGGGACTGTGACAGCAGTTGAGGGGGGAGTGATGCTGGTGGCCCTGGGGAGCAGAGGGACAGTGGGGACTGGGAAGTGAGCGAAGCTCAACCCTGGCAGCGTCGGAGCAGCGCAGCACGTGCCCTGAGGCACATGGGGAGCCTCGTGGGCAAGTGCTGGAGCAGCACAGGGTGGGACACTGATGCCAAAAGGTTAGTCAGCTCAGCCTTCCCCCAGCATTAATCAGAGGAAGAGTGGCCAATACAGGTTTAGTCTCACTCAACCATTTTGGTTTTAGGTGAAACTGGAACAGGAATCAGTCGAGATGAATACATTGGCAATGTTGCCAAGGATATAGCGAACATGTTACCCCCAGTCTTTGATCTCGAGCAGATACGGAAAGGCTTTGGAGTTGACATCTCCCCCACGACTGTGGTGCTGCTGCAGGAGCTGGAACGTTTCAACAGGCTGATCATTCGCATGGCAAAGTCACTGGCTGAGCTGCAACGTGTAAGTAAATCACAGCAACAACACGGAACCAGCTGGGCCATACCTGCCCTAGCCTCACACTCAGACTCTCCCCATTTCTCCAGGCCTTGGCTGGGGAGGTTGGCATGAGCAGTGAACTGGATGATGTGGCTCAGGCTCTCTTCAACGGGCAGATTCCTGGGATCTGGCGGCGACTAGCCCCCGACACACTCAAAACACTTGGAAACTGGATGATTTTCTTTAGAGCTCGGTATAACCAGTACTCCAGCTGGGTAAGCAAGTGCCCCCAGAAAGCTTTTACCTTGTTAAGCTGCATATTATGCTGTGCCAATTGATGCAGAAAGCAGTGAACACTCACTGCTTTAGCTATGCCCCCAGAAAGCTTTTACCTTGTTAAACTGCATATTACGCTGTGCCAATTGATGCAGAAAGCAGTTCGTTGAACTAGTGCAAATCACCCCCCAGAATGGTAATGCATCATTGCTTGACAAGGATGTCAATGACAAAGACACTGACCTGTCTTTAGAAGCACTGACCTCTGGGCTGAGTATCAGGTGCTACAGATCACCTTCTGTGATTGCAGGTTAATGAGCACGAGCCCAGGGTGATGTGGCTGTCAGGTCTGCACATTCCTGAATCCTACCTGACAGCTCTTGTTCAAGCCACCTGCAGGAAAAACAAGTGGCCCCTGGATCACTCCACCCTCTACACAGAGGTAACCAAGTACAGGAGAGCAGAAGATGTCACTGAAGACTGCACTGAGGGTAGGTGTTTTTATGATTACTTGGCAAAATAATAAAGGAGTTGATGGCTGAGAAAGAGAAATCTCTCGGCACATTGAGTACATTACTTTGGTTACACCTAGGCAGACAATACCTTAGGGTTTGCATTTCACAGTCCTCATAATTTCCAGCTGGGTTATGGTTCCTGCTTTCCTGCAGAGCTTCTGTGTCCACAAAGCACCATCTTCTCTCTCCAGCTCTTGTCACCCACAGACAAGGAGACTTGTACCTCTCTTGCTCACTCCCCACATATATAGATACACACACCAATTCCTTACTGCCTAGAACATTACCAATCCCAGCAGGTTTATAAACCTCTATTTACACATTGACTTGGGCAATTGGAGAGCAGCAAATCAGTGTTTATTCCTAGTACTGCTCATCAGTGGAACCGAGACAATTTGGTTTGATTTCCCAATACAGCTGGGTGATAAAACCAAACCCCACAGCTCACTGCACCCTGTGCAGCTGCAGTTTGACACACAGTCAGTTTGTGATGACCGCAGAACAGTTGTCTTAAACTGAGCTTTTCTAGTAGCTCAGTTTATACACACGTTGCCTTTTGCCCTTTGCAGGCTGCTTTGTTTCTGGCCTGTTCCTGGAAGGAGCAGACTGGGACATGGAGCAGAGCTGCCTGACCCAGAGCCAGCCCCGCGTCCCGGTGGTGGAGCTGCCCATCGTCAGGATAATCCCCACGGAAGCACACAGGCTCAGACTGCAGGTACAGCTCCCGGGGACACAGTGGCCAATCAGCTTAGTCACTCCCTTCTGCTGTCACATCCCGTGGCCTGCAGTCCCTGCCCTCCTAGCCCAGCAGCTGGATTTCTCCATCACCACTCAGCTACAAAGTACCCCAGTTGGTTAACACTTCTCCTTACCTTATCCCCCATTACAGTTTTTCTCTTCTAAGGGGGTTGATGAATTTGTTGCCTCTTTTCCCTCCAGGCACTCTAGGACAGGTGTCATGGGACACTCTTACACTCCCCCTACTCTTCCTATTATTTCCCATCCTCAGTTAATGACATAAAGGACATTTTCTGGGTATCAGATAGTTAAGACCTCTAACAGAAAATGTGAATTTCTGAGGACAGTCACCTCTCCTCAAGGCCCTTCTTGTCTGCAGCTGGATGCAGCAGTACCTCAGGCACTGCTCAGTGTCCTTGTTCCCTTGTGCTCTTGCAGAACACGCTGCGGACACCTGTGTACACAACCTCCCTGCGCCGGAACGCGATGGGCCTCGGCCTCGTCTTTGAAGCTGATCTTTACACTACAAAGCACATTTCCCACTGGGTCCTTCAGGGTGTGTGTCTCACCCTGAATGCAGACTGATGGAAGTAGGCACTAGATTCTTCCCTTTAGAGGGGCAGGGAAAAACCCTCAGCCCAAGCAGAGGTTTGGCACTGTAGGGAGAGTCACCTTCACTTAGGCACATCTGACTTTAAATTATACTAGCTTGGTTGTACCACACTCTCAATAAACACATTTGAAGAAGAAAGTGGGGATTGTGATTTGTGTGCCCTTGTGGAAAGGCTTCAAGCTGGGCTGTGGATGCACAGGAGGTAGTAAGTTGGTCTCACACACACAAAGACTAAGGTTTGCCTGGATGGTTGTAAGAAATGTCTTTAATTGCCCAAAGCATCACTTCTGCGGTGCTTGGAAGCTGTCCCCCCCCCCAGCCTCCAGCCAGTGGCAGGGAGGTCACTCATACAACACATCACCATAAAAATATGGTGACAACAGCCCAAACAACCAAACCCACTGCTGGTCAAGCCATACACGTAGAAACAGTAAACCTCAGGGTAACAAACTTGCTTGAACCGACCCTTTTGCAGGAACACAGCCTTTCCCTATCCCTCCCCACCACCTGGACACAATTCCTACCACGGAGCCACGAGGCGCACGCTGAGGCAGGTTTGGGGCTTTGGGACAGCGAGTGACATGGGGAGGGCACAGAGGGGTGGGCAGAGTCACACCCTCTGACCGGGATCAGCCCTGCTGGAAGTGTCATGCTGCGCGGGAAGGCGAGCGGAACCACGGGGGGAGAACAGCTTTGCATCCTGCCAGGGCCTCTGCCAGGCACAGCGACAGTGCTCCCAGGGAGACACACACCAACACAGCTGCAGGAGAAGCTCAGGAGGGGCAGACTACAGCTGGCGAGGGGAGGGGACAGGGCAGGCAGGATCCTTCGTCAGCTGCCACAGAGAATACGCGTTCCAAGTTTTTAAAGGCACATCAGAAGCTTAGCAGCATTTGGGAGCCAGTGTGTCCTGCTGGGCCTACTCAGAGGCTGCAACAAGAGTGAAGCAGAGGTGAGCTGGAGGTGCTGATCAGAATGTAAGAAAAAAATGGTCAAATCTGTGCTCCTTTCCCAAAATTCCATCCCCTCCCAGCTCCCAGTATGCCTTTCTTTCCTAGGAAAAAAATAAATCAAGTAGTCTAACAGCTGTTGGGTCTACCTGCTGAAAGGAGTAGGGGAATCTGGGCAAGTGCAAGGCAAGTCCATCCCAATCCACAAGGATTAAAGTCAAGGATGCCAGGTTCTCCTCCTGCATGAATTGATTACATTGCTTGAAACTAAATGCCCACCTTTAGAGGGGCAGCTCAGGTTCCTCAGCTGGCAGCAGCCAGCACTGCCTGATGATGCCCAGAACAAGACTCAGGTCTTTAGGAAACAAAAATAATCCCTTTACAAAAAAAAAGTGCAGATTTAGAGCATAAACAACCATTTCCATACTGGATAGCCAGTTAAGTTTCCTCCCTGGAAAAGGAGCTCTGAGCCAGTATGGAAAGTGCTACAAGTGCAGTGTACTGGACTAGCATAAAATGTGTCATGAAGCCACTGGACTTAAAAATAACAAACCCCAGACCCAAACCAACCCCCCAAACAACTCAGTGTTCAGACTCTTTCTGTCAGGGTCATTAATGGTGCTCCCCCTACCCATATTTCACTTAAAGCCACAAACCAAAGTATTTGGAGTGAATCAAGTAGTGCTCGCTGGGACTCTCGGGATGTCCTTAGGCCATTTAAGTGACTAATCTGCACAAGTTTCAGTGCTGCTGCGAGAAGAGCTGTCAGTGTTGGGGTGTGAAGGGCTCAGGGACACAGTGCAGACAACAGAAGCTCTGCCAGCTCCAGCCCTAACAGCCACACGTGTGGCTGCAGCCTGAGAAAAGGCTGTCGGCTCTGCTGACACAGCCTGTGCTCCGTCCACACGTGCAGTGACACCACATGGAGCAGCGTCAGGGCCCCTGATTCGGCCACAGCATGGAGGAGTTACATACCCTGCCCTATGAACAGAGTCCTAGGAGGTTTCCTTAGAGAAGCAAACATCTATTAGATGTACCCGAGGGAGTTTGGCATGCATGGGGAGGCATCAAAAGAAACTTCACCGCAGGTGCTATCGTTTACCCTACAGCTCACAGTGCGTCCCCAGCGCGGAGCGCGGCGTCGGGCGGCGCTCAGACAGTCCTGTCCGTCCCCGAGTGCTTTCTGACGGCTTTGCTGCCGTGGACCTG